GAAAATATCTGTAAATGCAAAGTTCACATTTTTATAACTGAAAATTGATAAGTGTTTTGGGGTATAATACCTATAAATGAGGATAGTACCCATTTATGAGGATCTGTAAAGCAAAATATTGTTCCCCAAGACAATATTTCATGACTTTGTATCATGAAATCTTGTCCCCATCTATGAAATAATGTCCAGAGAAGGACAAATTTTCATATGAAATTTTGTCCATATACATGTACAGACAATGTTTCATAGATGGATAGTATGAAATTTAGAATTTTTAAAGGGAGATTATCCAAGGTTATATATTGTGTATACTGAGACTCATAGATGGATTTTCATGAAATTTTGTCCCATGAAAGGGAAGTTATAAACATTTAATATTTTGGATGAAGATATCATTTAGGCATTTTTGTTGAATGATAATAACAAACAAACTTTGCATTACTATTTATGCAGCAATTTATGGATTATACACATACTTTATATGAAAACTATTTTTAAAAATCCAGAAGTGCTCACAATTTTATGGCAGAGGATTTCTCAGGGAAGACATTATTAGATTGAAAAATGTTTTCATGAACAGTATTTCACAGAGAAATATTGTCATGGACAGAATTTCATAGTGAAATATTGTCCAAAAGGAAGTGACAAAATTTCATGGACAATTTATGAAATCGTATCTGCGGAAAATATTTTATATGAAATATTTGTCTGTCATTTCATGGAGTAGATAGATATAAGAAGATGTGGTATGAGTGCCAATGAGACAACTCTCCATCCAAGTCAAAATTAGTAAAAGTAACGGTCTAATCTATATAAAAAACAAGAAACGAGAAACACTTATGAACTACATCAACAAACGAAATTTCATGTTACAGATCCTCCCCAACCTGTTACTGGCACAATTATCGAGTGATTTTTTTCTTTAAATAAGGAAAAGAGGTGTTTTTTACTTGCAAACCATCATGTTAACTATGGGTGCCAAATTAACCAAGTCCCGATTTGACAATACCGGGTGCCGAAGAGACTACAATGCTTTTGAGACGTTTCAGCCATAAATCTGTTCGGCCATATGTCGTTTCGTCCATACACCACTTCCGCCTTGGTCATTTCGGTCCATTATGCCTTTTTTCTTAATGTCTGTGCTTGTCAATGTTTTGAATCAAAAAAAAGAGGTAAGTAAATATTTCTTTATATATGATTAGATCTAGAAAATGTCACAGTCAGCAGAGCCAGGTAAAGATTAAAATTTTCTTATTTTTTATCAGTAGATTGAAGTCTGGAAAATATATACCCCACATCTATTATTTCAAATGATCAATAAAAAAAATTTAAAAAAAAAAAAGAAAATTAATGTATTGTTTTGCTTCAAAATATTATAATAATGCTGTACTGGATTTACTAATACATTTTTTATATTTATTATATTACTAAGATTCTCGATTCCACTACAGATACGTTTGTATATTTAATTAGATAATTAGATTAGCTAAGTGATAAAATTAGTGTCTAAGTGATTGAAAAGGTGTCAGTGTTCTCCCCAGGATTTTTGGATAGCACCAGGGTAACGTGTGTGGACTGCTTGGTGAAATGATTCATACAATCAGTTGTGTCGCGCCGCGTCACGTCGCTTAGCTATATTTCTAGTAACTGTAGTTTTTATGTCTCCTGTTTTGTTTTAATGCTGTGGTACTGTGTTATGTAGACATTGAATATTATTGGTAAAAAAGAAGTAAATCAATAAACAGTTTGACATGTATACTAACTTTAATATTTTTTAAAAATAAATAAAACATGATACATTACAAAATATTCATCTAAATTTAAAGTTATTAAATCTTTTATAAAATCAATGATCAATAAGAAAAAAATATCATTCAAAAGAGAACAAAAATGTTCAATTTAAAAAACTTTCTTATTTCTAGAATGAAAGATGTTGTATTGTGAAAGGATTACTGTTATAAGGAGATATAAAACTAACAAGAATAAATATTGTATTATTATTTGAACCAGTTTCTTTCTTAAATTTTATTAACAGAAATTTTTCATAAATTTCTAAACATTTTGCCTTAGATTTCATGTAAATATTAACTTTACTTGTCTTTAGTGATAATCAAACATAGATACAGACTTTATACTGCACTGAAATCTAAATCTTTTTTTGTCATGATCCATTTAAAAAGAATTCCTAAATCTATAAATTTATCCTAGTTCTATAGATCGATAAGTAACCCTATTCAATGTCAACAACTAAGTCTCCCTATTTTCCCGCCTAAATGACAGGAAGTAGATATAAATAGATTTAACATGTGCTTATGGATAAAATTTGCAAATCACTTCTGTTATTCATTAATTATCATATGGATATAGATATCCAGTTTGAAGGTACAGTCATGCATTTTATTTATAAAATAGAATAGATTGCAGTTAATTGTAAATAATCTTGGGTATTCTATGTGAACTAACTGGGTCATGTGATCCGTCCCCTTTGAATTACTTGTTGACAGATACTATGATAACTAGTTTGAAACCGGAATATCATGCAATATAAATTATGTCAAAATTAAAGATAATTTGGCCATGGTTTAATCAGAGACATATAATACTATCATATAAGTATTGAGAAGTGTATAATGGTCAATTATACGTAATGAGCCATCTTTATAATGATCAAAATGTGTACCGTCGTGTGTACAACTATCGGGTCAACACGGTTTGTGTACAAAGTATACGCCGACTTGTCAGGTGGTGAGTGAAGCCATAAAATAGTTGTCTACGATCATAAAGTTATGATCTCTTAATTAAAACACAAAAGAATCATTTTACATGTGTTAATTACATCGATTAAATCCAATCAACAAAGGTTAACCTCATAAAGGTAAATCGATCACGTGGTGTAAACAATCTGAACTGGTCAAATTTCACCTGGAATTTTATACTGCACGGAAAAGATTTAACAAGTCGTTTAAAACTTTACCGATTTTCGATTTTTTAACTAAAAATTTTAGCACCACGGAGAAATATAATACATCGCGGTACGAACAATACCACCACGGTAAAAAAATATACATCGCGGGCCCGCGGTCCTTTAAGGCCCTGGGGAGAACACTGGGTGTGTGTCTCATAATAAACTAATCAACTTGTTATTTAATTTAATCATTTCAAAACAAGACTGTCACCAATTCATTTGCTTATGTCATTTTGTGAAGATCACTGTGAAGGTATGTAGGCAGTTGCATACAAACAAAAGAACAAAATAGTGTATTAGATCTAGTCTTGACACCAGTACCGACATCGTAAAACATCTACCTAACAATGGATAAAATGTTTTAAATGAGGGTTAAAAACGACAAAGAAATGCACTTTTATTCACTAAAAATCATGATTTTTTAAAATTTTATCTACATAACCTTTTAAAACATTTTTTTTTATTAAAACATCATTGGACATTACTATAAAAGTGCATTAAAGTTATTTTTTAAGTTAAAAAAGGTGTACAATGCAGTCTGGTAAATCCACCCACATAAGGCTTTGATTGTGTGTATTTATGCTTAGTTATATACAAATCGTATCAAATTTAATATAAATCGATTCACTGATAAATCAACTTTGAGTAGTTAATCTCATTTCCCCAAAAAATATCTGAAATAAATTTTTAAATCAACACAACAAGTGTTTTTATCGGAAATGTGATTGTCCGGTAAATCCGCCCATGCACAGTAAATATGTATGGAGGGCCAATTTATCACAAATTTATAAAAGGAAAAGTGATCTATTTATCAAAAGACCACTTATAAAGGGATTCCAGATAATCCAAAAAAAAATTTCAAGTCAGAAATGAGTTTTGTAAGCAATAATATGATTATCCTTAGCTTTAGGAACTGTATTATATATATTACTAGATATTTTCGTAATAAAGGATTTTTCTTTAAAATTTGACATGCAGTGATGATAAGTACAGTCCCTTGAATAAAATAGAAGACGAAATATTCACGGAAAGTGACAATTACGGAAGTAAATGGGAGTGGGCGGTTTAACGGACGGGTGGAATTACTGGACACTACTTTCATGACTGCATAAATGAAAATATTGTGACGGGTACCAATTTGTTAATTGTACTTAACTTTAACTATTCCTTCATATTCATAAAAGTTATATTTTGTATGCCATTCATTCCTAAATTTCTCTCTACAATGAGATATAAAAGATGGAATCAGTGCATTCTTGTTCAGGATTATTTTTATGATTTTTATTCAGCATCATATAACTGATAACTGACAAAATAAACCATAATGCCAGTCTTTTTTTTATTGTGGTAACATTTACTTTGGGAAATATTGAAATTGTATTTATTATTTACTGTTATGAGACAATCCCCGTAATTATCACTTTCATTGAACGAGTGATGTTTTTGACTCGTAAGTACATTTTTGATTGTGTCATATGAACTTACTTATCTGTAAAGCTTCTTCATGTCATATTGGTATAGGGAATTACAAGTTTTATGTCAGAACATTTTGTTTGACTACATAATTTGTCAAAATTTCGTTGACAGGCAAGCACCTGGCCATCGTTGAGCTAATGGTACTGAAGCGTTTTGATTGATCGAACATTTACGGAATGTCACGATTGTTTTTAGCTTATCGTAAAGAATTTTAATTATTATATTCTATTTACGGAAAAAACATTTCAACAAATATAAAGTTACTTGAGCGTGATTTTGTACAATTATTTTATAAAAAATAAACATTTCATAAAGGCCAATTTGGGAAAAATACGTCTTTTATTACATGGCCGAAGTGGTATGTGGCCGAAACGACCAAGGCTGAATGGACCAAGGCAGAAACGGCTCCATGGCCGAAACGCCTTGTTTCCACTACAATAGTCAATATTCGGGCAGTGTAACAATCTTGGAAAATATCCTTTGGCTTTGAGCTACCAGTTTTATGATGCTAGTGCTAAGTTACTACAACATTTAAATATTCACCCAAATTAAGACATACCTATTACATCTCTGTTTTGCAAAAAGTGAAATTATTGCTGTTATTTCTATATTGTTTATGAAATTTCATTTCTTTATATTTTTCAGTTCAGGTGTCCTCCATATTGTAAACAACGCAGGCGCAAAAGAAAATTATTTCTGCAAGTAAAATATAAATGATAACAAAACTGAAAACCCCTTCAATCCCAAATTTTGATTAATATATTCATCACTGTACTTAATTCAATTACACATTAAAGATAATTTTCTCTTACTTTCAGTTAATTTGTCTTTGCGATCTGTAAATTTATCTGTTTTCCTGTGCTTTTTACTTTTTGGCGCATGCGCTCCAGTCACCCGCCGTTCCAAGATGGAAGAAAAGGGAACGATGTGATATCGCTGCATTGGATTTTTCTTTTATTTCTGCTTGGTGTTGATTGCAATTCCTGATTTAGACGCATTAATTATCTTTGAAGTACGTATTTTATGACACAAGTTACTTTTAGTGAGACTTTAAACAAAGAAAAGTTCCAAATGTTGCATTTTATTGCTTATATTTCTTTCAGAAGAACACAATTTTTACCCTCCTAACACAATTCAGGTCTCAGAATGGTCAATAGCAGTTTTTCCTGGAAATGCAAACTTTTGGCTTAATATGTTAATACAGTCAAATAGTGCACACAGTGACAATTCTGAAAAAAATTAATCTCAACTGCTCAGTTGTCCTTAAAAATCATTACCTTTGTATGTAAACCCCTGTGTTGGGAAACCATTTAGGCATTTATCAGTGACAGTAAGTAAGTAAACTTTATTTAAAGTGGTCGAAATATATTTACACAAAGTAGAATGAAAACATGAGCTTTTCAACATATTAATGAAGACACATATTACCACATAAGGATTTTGGACCTACATCAAACAAAAGACAACTGTTAAAAACAGGGTAGCCTCACTATAAAAAATGGCAAATTTGAAATTGATCATATAAATAAAACAAAAAATGGATCAATTCCAATCTGTCTTTTCCCATGCACAACCAAACAGTAAATGAGAATTTGATAGAAAAAAAAACTAATGACAGATCCACCAGAAAATATCCAAACATTGAAAAATATCATCACAAATAGTTGAGTGGGAAAAAAAGCCAGAAAAATATTTATCCACACAAGGTTGCTGGAGAAGACGTCATGAAGCTAATGATCCTGAAAGAATTAGCTACATCATGTACATACCTGTCAACTAACATATATTTTGCAGGGCACACCTGTGTTTTTAATACCCGTCTGGTGATCAAATAACCCAGGAATTCAGAAAATGACTCGTTTTCACCCATATTTCTGACCGGTATTGATACCAGTATTTAGAAGTGAAATATACATTTTAAAAAAGAAAACAATAAAAGTCAATGAAAGTCAAAACTTAGGATTTGCTTATTCATCTTGCCCTTAATTGAATGAATACAGCTATCAAAACATATTTTGACACTCCTTTGTTTGAAAAGTAACAAATCGCTTATTATTTCGTTAATTGTACCCCAGAAAGTTAAGGCCAGTCAAGTTTGACATACAATTCTATGTCCTGACTATAAGATTTGCCATTTGCAAATATCAATTATCCTATAAAAATCGTTTTGAAACAATTTGAACCTCTTAATACATTTCTGTTGGAGAGATACAAGTCCCTGATAAACTATTTTAAACCATTTAATTTTGTTACCACTTAAATATAAAATCTTCGAGTCAAATCCATATGCTCTAGATATTGCACTGGAAGTAAACATACTTGCTTCTTCTTTCTCTTATCTTCCTCCTGTGTAAAGGAGCATATTACCCAAAACTGATTTCTAATTATAGCTGAGGTTTATAAAATTCATTTATAAAAAGTATTGTGAATAAAACAATTAAAGGGCATTGCTTTAGAAAGATATTTAATTGATGATAAATATTTATATAATTAACAAATAAACATCTTATACGTTCAGGTATTTCACATCCAATATTTTATGGTAATATTCTTTACAAAGCACAAAAATGTCAGCATTCACCTCAAAAGCTAACCAAACCTTTAAACAGACTTATTCGGAAAGGATATAGTTACGATACTGTTTTCAAGTCATTAAGGATTGCATATTTTGGTATTAGTATTGATTCACTCATAGGGTCTTTGCATTGGAAATAAACACATTTATTCTAAAACCAGTTGTTGGCATGATACAGGTTATGTTCTTCTCATATATTTTATGATGGTATGATACTAAACCCCTAACGGGAGGGATTGTACTTGATTTTCATATGATGAAGACATAATCTTTCAATCAGTTTAATTGAGGTCTGGAGCTGGCATGTCAGTAACTGCTAGTAGTCCTTTGTTCATTTATGTATCATTGTCATTTTGCTTAGTTTCTTTTGTTACCTATTCTGACATCGGACTCGGACTTCTTTTAAACTGAGTTTTTCTGTGCGTATTGCTATGTGTTTCTTTATTCTACATTGGCTAGAGGTATAGGGGAAGGGTTGAGATCTCACAAAACTTGTTTAACCCCGCCCCATTTTTGCGCCTGTCCCAAGTCAGGAGCCGCTGGCCTTTGTTAGTCTTGTATGTTTTTTAATTTTAGTTCAATTATATATTTTGGAGTTTAGTATGACGTCCATTTTCACTGAACTAGTACACAATTTTATTTAGGGGCCAGCTGAGGACCACCTCCAGGTGCGGGATTTTCTCGCTGTGTTGAAGACCCATTGGTGGCCTTCGGCTGTTGTCTGCTCTTTGGTCGGGTTGTTGTGTCTATTTGACATATTCCCCATTTCCATTCTCAATTTTACAATAGTGAATATTTTTAGTAAACTGGTATATGTTATAGCATGTATAGTATATATTATAAATAAAAACTGAAAATAGAAATTGTCCTAATTCAACGATCATTTATAATTTTGCAATGGAGAAAGGAAATATGACTGGCGAACAGCAACTGTCACACAAGCTTACAAGAAAGATTAAGAAATACATACTAGCAAGCTACAGGCTAATATCCCCAACATGCATCTGTTGTAAAATAATTTACCAGTAACAAGACTAAACTTGCAGAGGCATATAATCCTATACACTGTCCAAAATAGCTTCAGGAGTAAATGATTATGTGAAACACAGCTCATTCAACGTACCGGTATTGAAAATACAAGTAAAAATCTGATATAAGGAAAACAAACAGATTTGCTAATTTTAAACTTCTCCAAAGCATTTGACAAGGTCTCTCACAGTAAACTCCAACATAAACTACACCATTATAGCATTAAAAGTCAGATGAACACATGGATAAAGTAATTTCTCACAAACTGAGCACAAGTAGTTATGATCAAAAGAAAAACATATGACGAAGTGAAAGTAGAATCTTGAGAACCACAAGGATCAATTTTAGGTCATGTCTTTTTCTTTTTTACATCAGCAACCTACCACAAGGCCTCCACTCAACAGTGAGACTATATAGGAAGATACTGTATTCTATAGTACCTTTCCATTTCCTTGGACTACGACTGCCAAAATATACATGAAGACCTGGACAAACTAGGAAAATAGGAAGAACTTTTACAAATGTAATTTCATTTTGAAAAATGCAGTATCCTTAGTGTTCTCCCTAGGCCGATATGACATTGGGGACATGCAGTGCCTTCAGAATATTTTCGTTGTGACTACAGTGCTTACATTATTGATCCACTGTGCCTTAATTGTTAATCTTTCAAAGTCATGGAATTTTCTAGCATTCCACAGGGTCCGGTATTCGGACCCATTCCCGATGGCTAAACCCCTACAGTTTTCCCAACTCATGAGGAAAAATTCCCAACAATATTTTTAGGGACATCTGAAAATTGTTCAAGTTACGTTTTCACCTATATTATTTGTGACAGCGATGTTCTATTTGTTCAACCGCTAGCTTTATGCTGAAAATCGCAAACAAGTTAAGTAATGTGTAAAACCGAGTAAAAACATATCCGACTGACAAAATACATTTGTACAACTTTGACAAATGGCTACTAAAAGAATTATAGAAAAGAAAGAAGAAACAGGAAATATTTTTTTACAGAAACTTGAAGACATTTTTATTTCACAAATGTTCCTGTTAAAATCCAATAAAATGTTACTTTCACTTTTCTTTATCACTAAAAAAAAATTGATATTGGATGTTTTTATAATGTAAAACCATTTCTACAGATCTAGGAGGTAATTTCTTCTCAGTTTTGAAGGGACAGTAAAAATCTGGATTGGCAATTGAATTTAGAAAAGTGTTAGTCTGCTTTGCCAGTTAAAAAAAATTTTATTCAGGATATCCCTGAATTTATTATTTTAAACTGTTACTGTCTATGAAGGTGAAAAAGGGGGTAAATTCTTATCACATGTGCGCTTTAAGAAGTATGGTATTTTGATTTTAATATAAACTTGATTGCCTTGTCAAGTTTGAAGTCAAAAACGACAGGAAAATAAAATTATAAATGGCAATCATGTAGTTACTTTACTTTATTTTCACAAAAAAGATCATTTCTAATGAACCATACACATTAAAACTCACATCTGGAATATTTGTTGGGTTTTCCCAATTTCATTGAAAACCGTGTGAAAAATTCCAAAAACTGCCCAGGGTCCTTTTTCCCAAAATAACCAGAAAAACTCCTGAGAGTGTTTATTTTCTAATTAAATTATGAAATGTTGATTACTTTAGTCAGGTTAATTATTGCCGCTGAGAAGTAATCAAACTTATTAGGCAATAATTGAAGGACTTCAGTTCATCCTCTATCTGAATTCACCTTATCAGAATGCATACACAGCATGTCAAATAGATAGATGTCTTTCCTTGATACTTTTTTCATTGTTTCAAGATTAGAGGAATAGCTGTCCAGTAATGATCTTGTACATACATGTAAGTACATTAAAATGATATAGCAGCATCCTTTTTTCTAGGTAAAAATGTGGCCATTACTGCTGGATATGACTCGTGATGACTCAAAACGAATACTACGGAGACTCGAATTAGAAGCATACTCTTCTTTAATATCAGCCTTCCGAGCTCAAGGAGATTTGACCAAAGAAAAGAAGAAGATTTTACAGGACTTGCAGTACTACTTGAGGTAATAGGATACAACAGATTTAAACCACAGTTGGACACTATGATCACCATTTTATAGATGAATGACTGGTTAACTATTATATGTGGGTGGTTGGAAGGATAATTATATTCCACCATTTCTATCCAATCACATTGTACAACATAGTTAAGGGACATTTTAAGTGTCATTCTCTTTGCTTGATATATTTAAAATTTTTGTACTATTCAACAAAAAAATCTATCCAATTTGGTCATTGTAACATTCATGTTACAGGAAGACAACCAGTAGCAGTTTAATTTTGTCTGTTGTCTATATTTGTTGTCTATATATGTCTGTTGTCTATATTTGTCTGTTGTCTATATTTGTCTGTTTTCTATATTTGTGTGTTGTCTATATTTATCTGTTGTCTATATTTGTCTGTAGTCTATATTTGTGTGTTGTCTATATTTGTCTGTTGTCTATATTTGTCTGTTGTCTATATTTGTCTGTTGTCTATATTTGAGTATTATGACATGGTTACTCATTGACATAACCAAGAAAAACTTTTAACTTTTAGTTGAGTGCAGGTATCTGTTACAGACACATTATGTTTGTTTAATTATACATGTATATATTTATTTAGTATTTCAACAGAAAGACACAGAGCTGAAGTACGAAGGGCCATTAATGATGAAAAGCTTTGCACAGTAGCTGATTAGTATGTAGCTATTTTATTATTAAGTTGTGAAAAATGACTAAACAGTGAAGATTGAATTGTTATCTTAAATTTATCTGGAATACCCTTTATGATCAGGGTTTCATGTGACTGGGTGACTAGGATAAAGAAATCTCTTTCCTGTTGACACCACCAAAACGAACATCTAGTAGCCTGAGTATTCAAACAGTCCTTTTCATCATCAGTAATTTTCCTTTTTTTTGTCAAGTTGATGTAACAGTAATTTTAAATTTATGATTAAAGAAATTCAAAGACAATATATTTCTTAAGAAACGAAGTGACAGCATTGATTTTTGTAGACTTGTGGTATGTTTTTGAAGGTACAACTTTGTATGCAAACAAATTAAACTATTTTCTTTTAATTCCGGTCTATTGTTACACCAGCAAACATCAAAAGATTAGGATTTAAGCAAAAGAAATTTCACTTCATTTAAAGGTGATTAAAATTGCTTTTATTTAATGTTTAATCCATTTATTGCATTAACACGTTATATTCCTTTCCAAATCAGATGTCAAATATTGTTTAGTTTTGTTAATTTTTCTCATCCCCTTCTGAAATTTATGATATCACCGCCACGGATCAGTGGCAGACCAACATAAACTTGTTCTTTAAGGTTATGAACTTTTCAGAATAAATGCCGAATTAGGGCTGTGGCCCAGGTTTTGCTGATTATGTGAAAATGTGAAAGTGCGAGAGTCATTGCATCCTTTGGACATATTCCAAGATGCTATTGTAACAACATCATACTGTTTATCAGAGATAAATGTACTATTTAAGGGAATGTCTGTGTAGTATTTCAGGGCCAAATACAATGTCAGAATGGCTGATAGAAGGCAGGAGATTGATACCATTAATGCCAAGACTGGTTCCACAGACTGCTTTTACTGCTAAAGCTAATGAGGCTGCCAACTTGCAGGCAGAAAAGAATGCTAGTATGCCTGTTCCATCATTGACAGGAAATAAAGATTGTAAGTGTTCGTTACTAGTATGCCTGTTCCATCATTGACAGGAAATAAAGATTGTAAGTGTTCATTACTAGTATGCCTGTTCCATCATTGACAGGAAATAAAGATTGTAAGTGTTCATTACTAGTATGCCTGTTCCATCATTGACAGGAAATAAAGATTGTAAGTGTTCATTACTAGTATGCCTGTTCCATCATTGACAGGCAATAAACATTGTAAGTGTTCATTACTAGTATGCCTGTTCCATCATTGACAGGCAATAAACATTGTAAGTGTTCATTACTAGTATGCCTGTTCCATCATTGACAGGCAATAAACATTGTAAGTGTTCATTACTAGTATGCCTGTTCCATCATTGACAGGCAATAAACATTGTAAGTGTTCATTACTAGTATGCCTGTTCCATCATTGACAGGAAATAAAGATTGTAAGTGTTCATTACTAGTATACCTGTTCCATCATTGACAGGCAATAAACATTGTAAGTGTTCATTACTAGTATGCCTGTTCCATCATTGACAGGCAATAAAGATTGTAAGTGTTTGTTACTAGTATACCTGTTCCATCATTGACAGGCAATAAACATTGTAAGTGTTTGTTACTAGTATGCCTGTTCCATCATTGACAGGCAATAAAGATTGTAAGTGTTCATTATTCAAATAAATGTATACACATATATTCATCTAGTTAAACATATGTTTAACTTCCATCAATAAAAATGCCTACTCCTTCCCTTAGTAATGGATTTAACTGTTCTGTTCTGTCTTGAAACAAGATAAGAGAACACAATAGATTTGCACATTTAATTTTTTTTATTATGATTTTGCTATAAGCATATAAGTGAACAATTTATCTAATGTATTAATATTCTCCACCACCCAAAAAATCTTGTGACAACTCTATTATATTGAGAGAATAGTTATATCTGGAAGTCAATATAGTATAGTATTGATTGAAAAAAAATCATTTACTTTTTTTTAGTGACAGTCAGCTCTTCTCCTCCATTACCAGTGAATAATAATATTGTGACAAAAACAAACAGACCAAGTAGTCCAAATTCTAATGTTGTAGTCCTGCCTAGTGGAATGTCAATTCACATCAAAGGTAACTATTAATATGCATAAAATTTATAAGATTGGACAGGGTGATATGTTTTATATTGATTAGTAATGCAAAAGGCAAGGTTTAAAAACTGTACACTTATACCCACCCTTGTGTACAGAATCTTAGTGCATTGACATTTGAAGAATGATTTGTTGTAGCTACTGTAAATTCAGAATTAAGTAATGCTTCAGTATAATTATTCTTAATTACTAATTATGGAATGTTTTTGAGAGCAGGGTTTAATACGCATGATTGAGGAAGTTAATCAGAAAAGTTATTGTTTTTTTACCACACATTTATTGAAAAGTGAAATAAGGAGATTTTTTTACAAGGCCCTGATAAATATTTTGTGATAGCAAACTGGCTGCTATCTGTTTGAATGTACTTATTAATTGTACCAAATGATTTTACGTTCATAGGTGGACTGAACACAGAAGATGAAGACGAAGGACCTGAAAGGAAAAGACGTAGAAGTCATTCCAGCGAGAGCTTGGTATCTCCATCAGCATCAACACAGACACCAAGAGTAACATATACTACAACAACCCCCAGTCCTGTTACTGGTATATCCCCAATGAAAATTACTATCAGTAAAAGTCCTAGAAGTCAAATGACAACCACTGCTTCTCAGTCACAAAAGGTATTCAATATTTTTATTAGCTCAACTAGAATGTTTATTTCGAAATTCTGAATTCAAATTCATGGCTTTTAGTGATTTAAAATTTCATAAATGATGCCTTATTTCATGGGATGTAATGTTAAATTATCAAATAAAGTAATTTTCAAATTGAATTTTGATTGATTACTGTGATATCTTTTTCTTTTCTATTCATTTGATTTTGCTATAGTGCTATTTATTTGAATGTTACCAATGCCTGATAAGTACTAAATATGAAGGGATACATTATAATTTGTGTTATTAAAAAAAGATATAGGGTAATATTTATTGGATTGGTAGTAAACAAAACAGTATGAAACAAATATAGGTATAACAGAGATTTTATTTTATTTTTACTAGGTTATTTTAGTATCTTCTGGTCAAACTTCTCCAAATGTTCTACAGAAATCTATCACAGTTCCAGTTGTAAAAACATCAACCAACTTGACAGGAAGCAATAAAGCCTCCATTATACTACCAAATTCAACAGGGACATCTACTGTCATCACCACACCAACTATGGTATCTGCTGGTTCAGGTAGATAGATATATATATATATATCATATAAGTTTTAAAAATATAATAATTTTGAAAAAGTAAAAAATGTTGCTGAGAATGCACATAGAAATAGTACCAGTACTTGCTTGATGGTGTGCCTATTTCATGGTGTTATTTTAAAAAGAAGAGAAGTTTTTAAAAGCAACGTAGGATTGTGTGTGAAATGGTAGTGCATAAAATTGAAGATGGTAGTAAATGTGATTTGTTTTGAAATATTTATGAATATTCTGTCTACTAATTACCCTCAAAATTACTTAAAGGGGTATTAGCTTTCAAATTTATATTCATCGATTTGACTCAAATTCTCATATTTGATGTATAACATACTGAAAAGTATATGTGAATTATAAAAAGTCTAAAATAAACAATTAACGATGCATGGACTCGATAATATGTATCAGCATTTCATGTGTATTTTAGTCTAGATGTCATCTAATAAACCATCGGGGTAACCTCCGAAGACTGCCGATGGTCATATAACCCGATATAAACATAAATATAGAACACATGCCATTGGATTTTTCTAGTTCTGTTTTATTTCATATTATAGCTTAAAAAATATGTTAATCCTCATTTGTACCTGTATACAAATGAGTTTTTGTGGATAGAGTCAGTCAACCAAATGGTTTACTCTTGTTTAACTTTCAATAATGACATTCTTTCCTTTTTAAAAGCTGAACACGCCTTCTTAATTCGTAAGCCATCTCTAGCTAAGGGGTTAACTTGAAGGTCACATGAATATGGTTTAAATGAGGTCCAATTATTCACTTGCAAGTGAATAATTCATCAGCGATGTTTCTTAGCTTATTTTGACAAAATTTAACCAAGCTGGCTGCTTAAAGCAGTGATATTGTTGTTTTTTTTCAAAACTACCTCTACCGTTTTTTATTGGGAAATTTGTATATTTTATTCTAAACACATCTCCAATTTTTTGCTGACCTTTGCTGTCTTTTTTGCACCGTTTTTTTATGTATATTTTGGTTGTCAGACATTTTCAATCTGAAAGGTACTTTTCAGAGAGGGGAAAGAAACAGAAGCAATGATGGTACTTAATGCATTGAAAACCACATGTGTTACAAACACCATGATAATTCTGATCAGAAAACTGGATCTCAAAAGTGCTTTCTAATATCAAAATACATGAATACGATATTTACAAACATTAGTACCAATGCCATCACTGTTTGAGAAAATGTAAAACGTTTTTGGGAGGAATTTTAAGCCATTTTTTTTTAGTAATTGGGAATTTTCTCTAGGGGAAAAAGCCGAATTTCGGCTGTAATTTGAGGCAAACAATATCACTGTAAAGGGAATTATTATTTCACTGTTTCACTTTCAATAATAATTGAACAAAAATAAAATCATATTTTAATTATACCCCCGTTTTAAAAAAGTATGGGTATACTGTTTTACCTCTGTCTGTCCGTTCATCCATCAGTCCGTCCGTCCATCCCATGAATATTTTTCGTCGCTTCTTTCTCAGGAACTACATTACAAGGATTTCTGAAATTTGGTTTCAGGGTTTATATAAGTCAGCTATACCGTGTGATGCGTTTTCAGATTCATCACTCAACAACTTCCTGTTTACCCTCAAGTATTTGGGCGGGGGTATCATCAGTGAGCAGAAGCTCACAGTTGCACTTGCGGAGGGGAATTAAGTTTTACTCTTGTCCGTCCGTCTGTATGTACGTCTGTACGTCCCAAAATTGGTTTCCGTTCTCTAACTTTAGTTTGCCTCAACCAAATGTTATGAAACTTATACACAATGCTTATTACCACAAAACACAGATCAAGTCACTTTTACCCTTCTAGAGTTATGCCCCTTTACAAATGGAAAAATTGCTGAATTTTTCGATTCTGTTCTCTAACTTTAGTTTGCCTCAAAATGTTATGAAACTTATACACAATGCTTATTACCTCAAAACACAGATCAAGTTTGAATTTTGGTTCTAGAGTTATTTATTTTTCATAGCTAATGCCCCATTAAATTGAGAAATAATAATAATTTATTGACAGGTACTTCAGTTACAAGTTCTACAATGACCTTCTTAACACCTACAGTTAGTATACCAAGACCTAGAGTGAAGACTTTCCCCAGACAGAGGTTTCCTAATGTAAGTACAATCTGAAAACAGTTGTGATAAGTTACAAATGTAATTAACTTTGAAGTTCTTTCACCCAAATGAGAAAACCTGTCTGTATCCTGTGATTCCTAATTATTTTTTTTTACAATTTCTGCACTAAAAACATTTGCTCTGTACCTATAACATTCTAACAGTTAATATCAAACCACTTGAATGGCATAAAACTTACGAGATATAATCAAATACAGTTTTTTTTTTGTAGATTTGTGATTCTTTTGAGTTATAAAAATAATTTTTTAACATCAATTCAGCTGTATATTGATGTTGACTTTTCTTCAAAAATACCTTTTTGAGGTGATTTGGACAAACTTGCATTCTCTTACAACTAAGGGTTAAATTTCCAAACGTCTTATATATATTACAGTCTTCAAATGTCACTAAATTTAAACATTCATTTAATGCAGTGAGCTTTATTTGATGATGCTTACATTTATTGTGTTGTCTGACCGTGTCAAGCTGGGGCAACGATAGTGGCTGTTGTCTTGTGTTGTTGTCTGACCGTGTCAAGCTGGGGCAATGATTACGTCTGTTGTCTTATGTTGTTGTCTGACCGTGTCAAGCTGGGGCAACAATTACGTCTGTTGGCTTGTGTTGTTGTCTGACCGTGTCAAGCTGGGGGCAATGATTACGTCTGTTGTCTTGTGTTGTTGTCTGACCGTGTCAAGCTGGGGCAACGATTAGATCTGTTGTCTTGTGTTGTTGTCATCTAAGTCACCACTTTGTTAATTGCAACAACTTCAAGACATCTTGACAGTATCCTACCTAAATTCTTCTACAAGACATGAAGTTCAATATTTGCTAAGGACTGAGAATATCAATTTTAAGTTAACATTTACTTATAGGTCCAGCAAGGTGTGCAGAAACCAGGCGTTGTGATACCAATGGGTCCTCAACCTGTTCAGCCAAATCCTCAAACTGTTCAAAACATACACATCAAATCTGTCAAATCACCCAATGTCCAGATCAGACAGGAAGGAGGTATGTTTATTATACTGATATTTAAATTCTAACTTAAAAGGATGCATATAAAATATAAGTAAAGACAAACAAAATATGATCAACAAGCATGCCAACAGGAAGAATTGTGTATGCTGTTCAAAGGAGACAGCTATTTGTTCAGTTATGGTACTCTTTCATGATTAGTTTTAGGTCCAGCATAGGCTAAACCTCAACTGTGTATTATAAAATAGATCTGTTAATATTAACCAAAAAGAAGGAAGTTGAGAAATCTGGTAAGAAAAATTTATTTGCTCAAGAAATAGATTTTGATATCCAATTTCATAATTGAAACATAACTTACACAAGATTGCAATAGACTTACAGTTTTGCTTTGATATACATTTATAGGCATGAAAATAATTAGTGCTGGAGGATCTGGGAAAATATTACCAAAAATCTCTCAGACAACATCAGCTTCTGGTACCCCTGTGGTTGTGGTTAGTGCTGGTTCATCATTGTCAAGTTCATCTAATGTTACCATGGTAACCAGACCTATCACTTCAATAGGTATGACATAGTGTAACATTTATTCAATATATGTGCATGAGTCATATAATAGGTTTTTTTATTACAGTTTCCTACAGTTTTTAACTTTCCTGTTAGTAATATTAGCAATCAGTAAAAAGATACGGAGGATTTTATATTGTAATCTTTAAGGTTTTGCCAAGGCTTTTTGTTACCACTGCAGGATTAATCTTCAAACTTGAAATCTCATTGTAAATGAACAGTAATTAATGAATAAAACAGATAGAGTATTATTGTTATTTTTTGAAAGTTGGCTTAATCAGTAGATGTCCATACGATAACACCAATAAATGATTTTTTTTCAACATTTTACATTAGTATTTATTATATATTTGTAAGACAGGCTGAATAAGATTTTCAACTTACAATGTTGTTAATGAATAGTAAAAGTTTCAAATGTGTTTGTTAGTAAGTATACATATGTCCTTAAATTTTAGACTATCTTCTGTAATGCTTAGCTATAAGTAATGGTTAATTCTTAATAACTAGAGTTCCATTATTCTTAAGTTTTACTCATTTGGCAAAGTTTTACATAATTTACTTTTGTAGGTCAGAGTGGAGCAAAGATTTTAAATATCACAACACAAGGTGGAAAGATAATCTCAACAGGGACAGCAAGGAACCCTAATGTTGTCACTGTCAACCCTAAAACTTTACAACTTCATGCTGTTAAAACCTCTGGAAATAAACTTGGTAATTATACCTGAATTACAAATATGGTTTGGTATTTGCATTTGCTTGACCATGGTGGATTTATTTCCCATTGCAGATTTCTCCGCAATCCTATTTGAGACTTATTTTGCACTTGGTTATTCTGGATCATGATAATAAATGGCAGGATGGCAAGCTGCATTTCAATTTACTAGCAGTTTGTTTATAATCTGTCAATGGTTAATGGTTGATTCCAGTTTAAAATTTTCTTTGAATAAAGAACTTTGAATATATTACTGTCAACAGTATAGAAAAACAAGTTATTCTGCCACAAAAAAGGACAATTTTTAATCGAATACATTCTTTAAATGAAAATATCAAAACAAAAGTTTGTTTTGTATTACTTATTACCTTGAACTTTATACATGTGCTTACTGTGTATACACACAGAGAAAAAGATTTAACCTCTTAGAAACACAATTGCTTATCAGGAGTATAGCACCCTCCGTATTATTCCCCCCGAAGGTGCCTGGGGATTTGAAATATGGTCACTACAGGTCATCTTCTGACGGCAGTAAAACCGTTGCCAAAATGGGGCGTCCATTTGGCTGTGTGGGATTAATTTCAATTTCAAATTAATTTTATTGTTTGAAAAGATCAATGCCTTAAGGGATAGATGTCTTGTGAGTATTTCATTTTTATTTACACCTAATTACATAAAAAATAACCATTTGTGTAAGAACCAAATATGTTACAAATACACAGCCATGTCTGGTTAGAATGGGGACTTTAAATCCAATGCGCTCTCTGCACATTAAGAACCCTTGCAACAACTCTGAGAGGGGTCCATAGGTGGCTTGTTGCAAGGCAAAATTTCTGTCCCTATCCTATTTACCATCATTTTCAAGTGGCAGTCCAAATATCCCTGACCTTCATCCCAGATGGCCTCTATTACAGGACCTATCTATTGTATTTATTGTAAATTTGTTCTCATCCTGAAAATGCATGAAAAAAATTGCCACTTGACATTAAGCAACCAACAATCAATCAATCCGTATTTTTAATGTTAATGAACCCTCAGCATTGCTTATGTTTATTAGTGGGATGTCTTTAAAAGGCTCAACTTATATAACTAGGCTTATGGTCCTGTCAAAAATATATTTGATATGATTTATTCATATGAATGAAAATCACAATTTTAACTCCTTGTTGATCAAATCAGTTTGTAGTTATTTCCTCTTGTTTACAGTGGAAATATTATTTCTCATTGGAATTAGTTATCAGTGAGAAAAATATCCTGAAATAAGATATGTTGTATGTGATTGTGTTGGCTAATAGTATCTTTGTTACATTTGTGTGAGCTGATATTAGTTTGATTTAAATTTCAGGAGGTAAACCAAATGTTATAGTGGTACAGAAAACTCAACCAAGACGATCTATCAGTACTCCAACTAGTACTGCATCCAAAACAATCAAATCATCTGCTTTTGAAAAGGTAAACATTGATGTGCTTTGATTTTAATATTAAATACTAGCAGTATGCATTTCACTGGAGATAAAATACCCTTGATATATTAAAAAGTCTTAAATGATGTACAAAGCATGATGAATAAGAGATGAGTTCTTAATCTTATATATATATCCTTAATTACGATTTTGTTATTCATATGTAAAAGGAGCATTAGCCTAAATTAATTATTTATATAAAAAAAAAGTAGTAAGAATAATCTGCATCTATAGAAGACAGTTTTATACATATAATGGTAACAAATTGGTATACTATTTAGTTTATTGTCTCGCCTTGACGGAGTCAAAAAGCGAGACATAGTTATGCTGTTTCTGGCGGCGGCGTCGTCAACAATGTATAAGTTTGTGATTAGGTCTAGTTCATGGTGAACCACTAGTGGTAGGTCAATGATATTTGGTATGCAGTTGTATTAGCATTGGCACATCTCATTACCATGAAGATTATTTGGCCCCACCCCCTCAGTCAAGGTCTATTGACTTTGGAACTTTTCATAGTTAACATGTATTAGTTTGTGATTAGGTCAATTTATGGGGAACCACTAGTGGTAGGTCAATGATATTTGGTATGCAGTTGTATAAGCATGGCCATATCTCATTTCCATGGAGATTATTTGGCTCCGCTGCCTTAGTCATGGTCTATAGACTTTGAAAATTTTGCTAAGTTTACATGTATTAGTTTGTGATTAGGTTAGTTCAAGGGGAACCATTAGTGGTAGGCGAATGTTAATTGGTGTTCAGTTGTATAAGCATTAGCACATCTCATTTCCATGAAGAATATTTGGCCCCACCCCTCAGTCATGGTCTATTTACATTGAAACTTTGGTTAGTTTACATGTATTAGTTTGTGATTAGATCAGATTAGGATGAACTGCTAATGTTAAGTCGTCGGTATTTGGTATGCAAATTTATTGGCATTTGCAAGTATCGTTTCCATGGAGATTATATAGCCCCACCCCTGATCATGGTTCATTGACTTTGAAACTTTTACATAGTTTACAAGTTAATGTTTGTGTTTAGGTTTGTTTAAAGGGAACGACTTATAATAAGTCAATGGTATTTGGTATGCAGTTGTATTAGCATTGGCACATCTCATTCCATGGAGATTGTTTAGCCATGTACCTTCAGTCATGGTTCATCGACTTTGAATATTTGCATAACTTACATGTTAAAGTATTGCAATTTTAATTTCAACATTTGCATTATCAAAATTACAAAAAAGGCGAGACATATCTCTGTGATAACAGTTTATTAAGAATAACAATAACGAAATACTTTTTATTTGTTTTAGGAATTGGTAAATTTTTTGCAAAGACAAGATTCTACAAAACATATTGTAGTATCAACACCAAGTGGTCAAAGAACAATAGAGAGAAAGGTTATTGTGACTACTCCAGGTCAGCTGGAAGCCACTAGACAGGTTTGTTATACTCTCAGAAAACATCACAAATATTGTATCTGACTAGACTTACATTTATCCAGTATATATAGCTTGATTTTTAATTTGTTTATGTATAATGATGAGTTTCAAATTAAAACTTTGTACTTACTTTTGACAGAATCACTGTCCTTGCAAAATAAAATGTGGTAGAAATTGTATTTGTTCATTATTTTTTTATCCTTGTCCCCTTACATTGTTTAAAGATTAATATTAATATACCATTAAATCAAGCAGAAATGAAAATACTATTTATTTCGTACTGGGTTTTGTAGAGAATCAGAATGGAAGCAGAAGCCAAGAATAACAACATTTTAGCAGATTTAATAAAGGCTGCCGGCATACAAGAGGGGGAAGGTAGTGGAGATGTTACCATTAATCTGGATGAGGCTACAATGGCTGCTCTTACAGCATCCAGTCAGGGATCCGAACAGAACAGAGGTTAGTTTAAATAGATATAGGAAGATGTGGTATGAGTGCCAATGAGACAACTCTCCATCCAAGTAACAATTTATAAAAGTAAACCATTATAGGTCAAGGTACAGCCTTCAACACGGAGCATTGGCTCACACCGAACAGCAAGCTATAAAGGGCCCCAAAAATTACTAGTGTAAAACCATTCAAACGGGAAAAACCAACGGTTTAATATATATAAAAACGAGAAACGAGAAACACGTATGAACTACATAAACAGACGACAACTACTGTAAATCAAATTCCTGACTTAGGACAGGTGCAAACATTTGCAGCGGGATTAAACGTTTTAATGGTACCAAACCTTCTCCCTTTTTCTGAAACAATAGTATAACATCACAACATAGAAAGACACACTATAAAATATCAATTGGAAGGCTGAACTCAATCAAAAAACGTAAATTAATACTTTTCAGTTAGTTAAGCACCTACTTCCTATTAACTGATACTATGATTTTTGGGGTAAAGATTGCATTCAATTTTACTGATTTTATCACTGCTTTTGATATACACAGAAAACAGTGCATTGAGCACAACATTCTATACATCCTAGCTATGAAAATTTCAAGAAATTAGACCTAATTTTAGTTGAAACAATTACAATTATGTCTCCAATTCATAGTATTGCCTTCCAATGCCTTATACAATGCAGTGTTTAATTTTTAGTTTCCACTGCAAAATGAATGCAATTTTCATTCTTCAGTGCTCACAAGCACTGATTGTCATATGTTGAAGAAACTGGAAAAAAAATTGTCACACATTTCTCATGTTCTTTTGAACAGAATGACTTCATATTTAGTCAGCGATTTGGCAGTGATGAGTACTTTTTTCCTGAAATAGAATTACAAAATGGATATGCTTTTCACAACAACTTGTGCATTTTCTTGTTATTTTTATATCTGAGCAGATCAAAAATTAAATTTATCTTGTGAATATCACCTCTTTGGAACTCTGTTATCCCAACTGCATATTTAGGGTATGAAATCTAAATATAAATAAGATCATGGTGAACATTTATAACCATCTGGCCAGTAGCCTAAGAAAATATGTAAATCAGTCAATTTATAGACAGTTCTGATTAAACAGAGATTTGTGTAGGCATTCTTTAACAACTATGATGTATTAGATTATTTTTTTTTTGTATTGCAGTTGTAACTAGTCAAGCTCTGCCTAGTAATGAATGGTTTGAGTATGATGATGGAAACCAGGCCTACACCAGTCAGGGTATAGATAACCAAGCCTTACAGGCCATTATTGATTCTCAGCCTTCCACCTCTCAGGATAAACCTAAGGTTACCGTACAGAGGTAAGGCCCCCTTCTCCTTAGATAACCAACCATTACAGGCCATTATTGATTCTCAGCCTTCCTCTTCTCAGGATAAACCTAAGGTTACCATACAGAGGTAAGGCTCTCATTCCCCTTAAATAACCAAGCCATTGATTCTCAGCCTTCCACTTCTCAGGATAAACTTTAGGTTAATGTACAGAAGTAGGGTCACCTTCCCCTTAGATAACCAAGCCATACAGGCCATTATTGATTCTCAGCCTTCCACTTCTTAGGATAAACCTAAGGTTACAGTACAGAGGTTAGGCCCCTCCCCCTTAGATAACCAAGCCATACAGGCCATTATTGATTCTCAGCCTTCCACTTCTCAGGATAAACTTTAGGTTAATGTACAGAAGTAAGGCCCCCTTCCCCTTAGATAACCAAGCCATGCAGGCCATTATTGATTCTCAGCCTTCCACCTCTCAGGATAAACCTAAGGTTACCATACAGAGGTAAGGCTCTCATTCCCCTTAAATAACCAAACCATTGATTCTCAGCCTTCCACCTCTCAGGATAAACTTTAGGTTTATGTACAGAAGTAAGGCCCCCTTCCCCTTAGATAATCAAGCCATACATGCCATTATTGATTCAACTTTTCATGAAAAATCCACAGAGGTAAGACTCCCTTCTTAGTTTTGATTAGAAAATATATGCACAGACCAGATACAGTTTCTGAACTTAGACACCTAAAGAAGTATCTAGTACATGTCCTTCTGGCAGATTCTATCTGATCAACAACATTTTCATAGACTTACAATAATGTGAAAGTTTATTTGATACCTGTCACATTATGTTGAAGAATTTCAACCTAAATTCAATCATGATCAGTAAAGATGGCAGCACTTTTAAGAATCAACATTCTTGTTAACTTTTATGGTATTAAAAAACCTATTGTTATTTTGAATGAGTAACAAATGATGCGATAGACAATTATGCCAATTGATAGATACTGATAAGAAAGCAAATTAAGGATAAATTATTACTCAGGAGAAACCAGTTTACACTTTTTATCTCATCTGGAAGCCATCAATTGTCATCCCTTCTCTGTCTGTTAACTTCACATTCAGATCTTTGTTTGTGGAGAACCACTCAACAGACTACCCGCCAAATGGGAGAAATCCAGGGATGGCCATATTTTTATACAACAGTCAACCCTTGGGGTCACATATCATTGAAGAGATATGAAAGGAAATGGAGGGATATGTAGCTTTCAAGTATTTACTTACATTTATTAATTAATAAATTAGAAACCTGTGATCTGTTTTAAGCTTTGAACACATACAAGCCTGTTAAATATGGAACAATAAATCAAACCTATATAATTACAGGGCTTCCAGTATAGATTTGAGTCAGTTAAATGTTGATCAGTTATCTCAGCAACAATACTACACAATAGGTAAGATCAGTATCATTAAAAGGGTTAATTACAATTTAAAGATCTTATGACAACTTTTTATAAAAATTCAATTTGAAAGGGTATAAGAGCAAATATTTTTTCTTGTGCTTTTTCTTTTATAGCCACCAATATATTATTGTATGGTATGAAACTTATGAAACTGAAGAAAATAAAATCTTCATGAATGTTTTTTGTCTTTGAAAACTTTTTATACAACTGGAATTATTATTATTCTATGTCATTTTGATTGCAGTTAAAATGTATCAAATTAAAGAATGAGTAATGATTTCTATTTTCAGAACAAGCCATGAGGATGTTAAATCAACCAGACAAAACAGCTGAGGGAGTATCAATTCTTAGAATGGACTCTACTGAAGGAGAGCCTCAGCAGACATCAGAGGTCAGTTCAGTGTTCTACCTAAACATAAATCCCTGGAGGCAATGCCTGCTTTATAACAAAAATATAAAAGCTTTCTGCTTCTTTTACTACCCAGTCTCTGTTTTCCGACTGGATTTCTTGTTCCCTGGAGGACCTTCAGAAATGGTCAATGCTGCTTGCGAAAATAGAAAATTAACAAAAAATTCTTTCAAAAAAATCATGTGAATTCCAAATTGGTACCAACTTTATTGCTTAGAGATTTTCCTAAAAGAATTATAAGTCAAGGTTCTAATCACATTCAACATTGCAATTGGCCACCATTATATGCTAAAGATATACAATTTGACAATTATTTCAATTAGAATGAATAACCTATTGTTCGGAGAACAATTGTAGGTCTTTTCAACCAAATTCATTTAAGATAAGAAAATTTGGATAATAAGATTGAGAATGGAAATGGGGAATGTGTCAAAGAGACAACAACCCGACCATAGAGCAGACAACAGCCGAAGGCCATCACTGGGTCTTCAATGCAGGGAGAGAAACTCCCGCACCCGGAGGCGTCCTTCAGCTGGCCCCTAAACAAATATGTATACTAGTTCAGTGATAATGGACGTCATACTAAACTCCAAATTATACACAAGAAACTAAAACTAAAACTAAAAAATGTTTAAGGCACTTTTTTTCACAAATTAAGGGAGATATTAAGCCACTTCCGTTTAAATCAAAGTCACTTCTGGTGTCAAATTAAAGCTTACTTTATGCTGATTCCAAAAATATATGGTTTCTATATACTTTTGCTTGAAATAAGGGAGATAAGTTGCTACTTCCGGTTTACAAAATTTTACTTCCGGTATCAACTGATTGGTTACTTCACACGGATGCTAAGCAAATATTGGGTTACTTCACACTGATTCCCAAAACATATGGTTATAGGTACTTTCAAATGAAATCAGTGTGGCAAATGGCTACTTCCCAACATTAGGTCAATTCCAACTGACCTTTTCAAGGTGTTGTGTCTACTAACTGAATGCAAAAGACCCCATGGCTTTATCATGTATAAATATATATATATATATATATATGAATTTATAGCAAAGGCCAAAATCTAGAATGACAACTTTAGCTTTGACCTTGACCTTAATTTCAAGATCATAAAGCAAGGACCTCAAATCAAAAGACCCTAAGTCTATACTATATATGGTTAAAGAGTTATATCACAATGCAGCTAATTTTAAACATTAGAAGGGAAAAAAACTCCCATTTAATGTCAATGCCCCCTTATAACCAAAATTGTTATGTTACAACATGTCGCAATTAAAAGTTTAGTAATTTGTCCATATCTTGTACGGTTTCTGAGGAGAAGCAATAAGCCAAAATCAAAATTTGGAACATGACTTCTTTTTATGCCCTACCTACGATAATAGAGGGGCATTATGTTTTTCAGTCTGTCCCGCTTCAGGTTAAAGTTTTTGGTCAAGGAAGTTTTTGATGAAGTTGAAGTCCAATCAACTTGAAACTTAGTACACATGTTCCCTATAATATGATCTTTCTAATTTTAATGGCAAATTAGAGTTTTGACCCCAATTTCACGGTCCACTGAACATAGAAAATGATAGTGTGAGTGGGGCATCCGTGTACTATGAACACATTCTTGTTAAAGTTATGCATCTACAATTCACATTTCATTCCAGACAACTGAGAAACAGGGCATTCCCACCATATTTTGGAGTCATTTTTAATTCTGGTCAATTTTAAAATGCAATGAAAAATTGTGAAAACCCTGTAAGAGAGCCCCAAGTGAAGAGTAAATGCTCTCAAGAGCCTCTAGTATTACACTATAATACTACTTTTTGATATGGAGTTTTATTTCCTAGTATTAGTCCAATAAGATAATTTATTTGTTTCAGGTGGAAACAACAGTAATTCAAGAGGAAATCCCTGGTGCAGCAATTCAAGTGTCAAATCAAAATTCTCAATCTGAGTTAGAACAAATTGCACAACGTTTAAATTTACAAGGGGAGCTTGATCCTCAGACTGGAATATTCTATAACACAAACTCGTCTACAGATAATTCTTCATCCTCATCTTCAGACATAACACAATCTCAGATAGTAGTGTCCGCTGGTGCCAAATCTTTTGACTTGTTAAGTAGTTCCTTAGAACAAGCTCAAATTAACTTAGATTCTTATCAGTTTATGGAAGAGGATATTTTAACAGAAAAGGTTACTGCAGAAGCTGTCGGTCAACCTGGTACAGAAGTTGTAGGTATGTTTACTGTTTATTTGCATGCATTTTCATGAGATATCTGGTTCATACATATTTATATAATATCAGAAAGAAGAGATATAACTCTGTCATAAAGTATTTTTGTTCATGGAATGGTGTCTTATTATTGCTTCATTGGTGTTTGTAGATTGGAACTTTGAAGTAGAAATAAATGGAGAGTTTGGATTTAATAAGATATTGAATTTACGGTTTTGATGAACTAAAAAAAATAACATTATATTGATTGGAAATACAATATTTTACTCAAATCAAACATTCACATTAGGTTTTAACAGAATATGAATGATAAGTAAAACAAGAGCCACTCTAAAAAGAGTTATGGCAAACTGTGTATAACTAAAACATGCCATTATACAGTGTAAGAATATGCAGTAATAGGAAATCAGATTTTATCAATGTAGATATTCATCATTTGACAAGAATTTAAATTTATTATCACATTATAAACAATTAAGATTATTATAAACAGATGCAGCATTTTCTACTTCTTCCACTAAGTGACCACCGTCATTAGGTTGACTATCCTGTCACTGTTTGGTGTGCGCTTGCATACATGGTGCTAATAAAAACATGGGACTTGAAATTTAATGTGCATGCAGTAGTCTCTTGAACGTGTCAATAGATATAAGAAGATGTGGTATGAGTGCCAATGAGACAACTCTCCATCCAAGTCAAAATTTATAAAAGTAAACCATTATAGGTCACAATACGGTCTTCAACACGTAGCCTTGGCTCACACCGAACAGTAAGCTATAAAGGGCCCCAAAAAATTACTAGTGTAAAACCATTCAAACGGGAAAACCAACGGTCTAATCTATATAAAAAACGAGAAACGAGAAACACTTATGAACCACATCAACAAACGACAACTACTGAAGACTTTCTGCAGCGATCACCGAGGCTAGTAAAGTGTTCCAATCTCTTATCGTTTGTGGATAGAAGGACTCTTTCCTGATGCTGGTCTTGCAAGAAGGTATATGGAAAGAGTGAACGTTAGTATGTCATGATAATCTGTCTGGTGGTATCAGTTTGTCATCAGCATCAATCTTTGCTTCCTCATTTGAAATTTTGTATAAGAGGGTTAGTCTAGCATTCTTTCTTCTCTCCTCTAGTGTTGGCCATTGTAGTTTTTATACGACCGCAAAAATTGAAAATTTTTTGGTCGTATATTGGTATGACGTTGGCGTCGTCGTCGTCGTCGTCGTCGTCGTCGTCGTCGTCGTCGTCGTCTGGCGTCGTCCGGCGTCGTCCAAAGACACATTGGTTTTCGCACTCTAACTTTAGTTTAAGTGAATGGATCTCAATGAAATTTTACCATAAGGTTCAATACCACGACAGGAAGGTGGGGATTGATTTTGGGGGTTATGGTACCAACAGTTAAGGAATTAGGGGCCAAAAAGGGGCCAAAATAAGCATTTTTGTAACTTCCAGACAATAACTTGTGTGTAAGTGTATGGATCTCTCTGACATTGTACCACAAGGTTCCATATCACAAAGGGAAGGCTGTAATTGATTTTGGGGGTAATTGCCTCAAAATTTTAGGAATTAGGGGCCAAAAAAGGGGCAAAAAACAAGCATTTTTCTAGTTTCATGACAATAACTTGTGTGTAAGTGTATGGATCTCTCTGACATTGTACCACAAGGTTCCATATCACAAAGGGAAGGCTGTAATTGATTTTGGGGGTAATTGCCTCAAAATTTTAGGAATTAGGGGCCAAAAAAGGGGCAAAAAACAAGCATTTTTCTAGTTTCATGACAATAACTTGTGTGTAAGTGTTTGGATATTTCTGAAATTGTACTACAAGGTTCCATATCACAAAGGGAAAGCTGGAATTGAGTTTGGGGGTAATTGCCCGAAACGTTTAGGAATTGGGGGCCAAAAAGGGGCCAAAAATAAGCATTTTTCTAGTTTCCAGACAATAACTTGTGTTCAAGTGTATGGATCTCTCTGAAATTGTACTGCAAGGTACCATACCACAAAGGGAAGGCTGGGATTGAGTTTGGGGGTGATGAATCATAAGGGGGTTCAAAAAATTTGGGGGGGGGGGATTTTTTTTTTTCTTTTTTTTTCTTTTTTTCCTTTTTTTTTTCTTTTAAAATTTTCCATTTTAAGTTGGTTATTTCTGATTAATATTTAAAAGCAAATAATAATGATATGGTAGGAGATACACACCAAACAGGATGTGTAAATTATTATATAATAAGTATTGTGCAATAGCAAGAAATTTTCAATTGCACAGTATTGCACAATTGCAAGAAATCTTCAATTGCACAGTATTGCGCAATAGCAAGAAATCTTCAATTGCACAGTATTGCGCAATAGCAAGAAATATCCAATAGCACAATATTGCGCAATAGCAAGAAATTGTCAATTGTACAGTATTGCACAATAGCAAGAAATATTCAATTGCACAGTATTGTGCAAAAGAAGATACTTCATATAAATTGCTTATTTCTTGATCAATTTCAATGGGGTTTTATTCTTGAATTCTTGGGGTTCTTTAATATGCTGAATCTAACCGTGTATTAAGTTTTTGGATTTTGGGCCCCGTTTTTAAATTGGTCCACATTGAGGTCTAAAGGGTCCAAAATTTAACTTTGTTTGATTTCATCAAAAATTGAATTATTGGGGTTCTTTGATATGCCGAATCTAACCGTGTATTTAGATTCTTAATTTTTGGTTCCGTTTTCAAATTGGTCTACATTAAGGTCCAAAGGGTCCAAAATTAAACTTAGTTTGATTTTAACAAAAATTGAATTTTTAGGGTACTTTGATATGCTGAATCTAAACATGTATTTAGATTTTTGATTATGGGCCCAGTTTTCAAGTTGGTCCAAATCGGGGTCCAAAATTAAACTTTGTTTGATTTCAACAAAAATTGAATATATGGGGTTCTTTGATATGCTGAATCTAACCATGTATTTAGATTTTTGATTTTTTGGCCCCCTTATCAACTTTGTCCACATTGAGGTCAAAAGGGTCCAAAATTAAACTTTGTTTGATTTCATCAAAAATTGAATTCTTGGGGTTCTTTGATATGCTGAATCTAACCATGTATTTAGATTTTTTATTTGTGGACCCGCTATCAAATTGGTTCATATTGAGGTCAAAAGGGTCCAAAATTAAACTTTGTTTGATTTCATCAAAAATTGAATTATTGGGGTTCTTTGATATGCCAAATCTAACCGTGTATTTAGATTTTTAATTTTGGGTCCCGTTTTTAAATTGGTCTACATTAAGGTCCAAAGGGTCCAAAATTAAACTTAGTTTGATTTTAACAAAAATTGAATTCTTGGGGTTCTTTGATATGCTGAATCTAAACATGTGTTTAGATTTTTGATTATGGGCCCAGTTTTCAAGTTTGTCCAAGTTGGGGTCCAAAATTAAACTTTGTTTGATTTCAACAAAAATTGAATATATGGGGTTCTTTGATATGCTGAATCTAAACATGTATTTAGATTTTAGATTTTTGGCCCAGTTTTCAAGTTGGTCCAAATTGGGGTCCAAAATTAAACTTTGTTTGATTTCAACAAAAATTGAATATATGGGGTTCTTTGATATGCTGAATCTTACCATGTATTTAGATTTTTTATTTGTGGGCCCGCTATCAAATTGGTTCATATTGAGGTCAAAAGGGTCCAAAATTAAACTTTGTTTGATTTCATCAAAAATTTAATTATTGTGGTTCTTTGATATGCCAAATCTAACCATGTATTTAGATTTTTAATTTTGGGTCCCGTTTTTTAAATTGGTCTACATTAAGGTCCAAAGGGTCCAAAATTAAACTTAGTTTGATTTTAACAAAAATTGAATTTTTGGGGTTCTTTGATATGCTGAATCTAAACATGTGTTTAGATTTTTGATTATGGGACCAGTTTTCAAGTTGGTCCAAGTTGGGGTCCAAAATTAAACTTTGTTTGATTTCAACAAAAATTGAATATATGGGGTTCTTTGATATGCTGAATCTAAACATGTATTTAGATTTTAGATTTTTGGCCCAGTTTTCAAGTTGGTCCAAATTGGGGTCCCAAATTAAACTTTGTTTGATTTCAACAAAAATTGAATATATGGGGTTCTTTGATATGCTGAATCTTACCATGTACTTAGATTTTTTATTTTGTGGGCCTGCTATCAAATTGGTTCATATTGAGGTCAAAAGGGTCCAAAATTAAACTTTGTTTGATTTCATCAAAAATTGAATTATTGGGGTTCTTTGATATGCCAAATCTAACCGTGTTTTTAGATTTTTAATTTTGGGTCCCGTTTTTTAAATTGGTCTACATTAAGGTCCAAAGGGTCCAAAATTAAACTTAGTTTGATTTTAACAAAAATTGAATTCTTTGGGTACTTTGATATGCTGAATCTAAACATGTGTTTAGATTTTTGATTATGGGACCAGTTTTCAAGTTTGTCCAAGTTGGGGTCCAAAATTAAACTTTGTTTGATTTCAACAAAAATTGAATATATGGGGTTCTTTGATATGCTGAATCTAACCATGTATTTTGATTTTGGACATTGGACCATAATAGGTAAATTAAAAAAATTGAAGTTCTTAGACCACATTCTTTCTGTGTCAGAAACCTATGCTGTGTCAAATATTTAATCACAATCCAAATTCGGAGCTGTATCAAGCTTGAATGTTGTGTCCATACTTGCCCCAACTGTTCAGGGTTCGACCTCTGCGGTCGTATCAAGCTGCGCCCAGCGAAGCATTTTATTGTAGCATAGATTCAACTGATGATGTGTTGTGGTACCTGTTTGTTACATACCTTGCAATTTTAATAATCATATAACTGACACCTTATAAAGGTTGTATGAAGACTTCCAGTATGTCTACCTTCTTTACAGTGATGTATTTTTATCAGAATTGGTAAATTTTGATATTTTATTTTTGAACAGAAGTATCATCGACACCTTATGAAGTATATACATCAGGTACTGGGGAATCTGTTGGCCAGGAAACTGTTATTGTATCCAGTAGCAATGAAGGTTCTCACATGGGTCCAATGATCCGGATCAAATCAGCATCATCTAGCAGTTTTATACCAATACAAGAGATCTCAAAATCATCAACCATAAATATCACCACACATACACAGGTACGCTATAGTGTTTATTATTCTTACTTTAATGACATGTACATTATATAATGACCTCTACAATAGAAAAGGTGCATTTTTGGGGGGTCTATGTGCCCTTTGGTACATCTGTTCAGTATTGGGTTAAAGTTTTGGTTTACAGTAGTTTTAGAGATTGATACAGAATGATTTTAGATTGATACTGAGATCCCTTCAGACTGTTGCATAGTTTCTGCTATTGGATTCTAGATTGACCAATTTAAATCTATTTAGACTGATTTTAGGTTAACACTTAGGTCCTTACAGAATGATACATATATATATCCCATAATTATTGAACAAATCACAATTTCTAGTTCAGTTGTAAAATTACACTTGAACATAGCATTGACTCAGGTTCAAGTTTTGGTTTACGGTATTTTACTATGAAGTTATGGTCACATCAACTAGACACTTAGTAAACATGTTCATGTCATGTCAAAACTAAAACTTGCAAAACAAAAAGTTCATTGTGACTAGACATATTGTGTTGATAAGCCTCTGTTTCTTTACTTCTGTTAATGGGGTCAGACATTGTTTATTATTTAGCCATCAACAAGTGTTATACATGAAGCAGTTTTATCACAAGAAGAAGGCATCTATACAGCTGAAATAATAGACGACTCTAACCCAAACATCACTCAAAACATAGACTCCTCCTTCATAACTACTGTTCCATCCAGTGATGTGCCAGTCACCATAGAAACAACCTCAGTTGACCCAGTAGAAGTTGAAGGAGAAATTGTTGGATTAGAAGACCTAGGTAGGGTCAGCAATTCATCATCAAGTACAAATAAAAGAAAATTGTGTTGAAAAAAATGTATTTCTCTCTTTTACTGAAATTAATTTTTCGAATTTGAAATTTTTTTTTCATTTTTACTGTTATTAAAGTAATGTTTAATATAAGAAGTGTTTATCATCTCATTGCTGAGTCACTTTATGTAGTTCATCTACAGTGATGTAGTCTGTCTACACTCAAATTGTCAGTTGGAACCTTGCTCTTGGCAAAGTGTATTCCACTCCAATCTTAATTAACTAGGAATGCACGTTTTCCTGTGGAGGGTTGGCGATTTTCTCCTGGCCACCATTAAATAGCTGAGTTCTGAAAATTGTGTTCAACACCAACAATCAATTTCTAATTCAACAATGACTTAGTATGACTTGTATAAAATCAGTCAATTAAAGAATAGCTGAGTTACATTATGGTTGACCTAAAACTGCAAGGACTCAGATTGTTAAATGTCTAACTCTCCCTAGGTACAATTGTTAAGTTTTCTGCTTAAGTTAGTTCGATAGGATCTACTTATGATAGATCATTGATATTTTGTATGAAGTTACATTACTATCAGGACATATCAGTTTGACGAATATTTTGAGGTCCTGCCACCTAGGTCATGATCCAATGATTTTCAGTTAACTAGCAATTTTCAATGTTAAGTAAGTTTTCTGCTTAAATCAGTTTGATAGAAACTACTTGTGATAGATCCATGATATTTTTTATAGATTTGCATTACTATCAGTACATATCAGTGACGATTATTTCGAGGCCCTGTCCCTGTAGGTCATGGTCCAGTGACTTTGAATTAACTAGCAATTTTCAATGTTAAATTTTCTGCTTAAATCAGTTTGATAGGAACTACTTGTGATAGATCAATGATATTTTCTTTAAAGTTGCATTACTATTAGTACATAACAGTTTGACGACTATAACGAGTCCCTGCCTCTGTAGGTCATGGTCCAGTGACTCAACTATTACCAATTTTCAATGTTAAGTTTTCTACTTAAGTTGGTTTGATAGGAGCTACTTACAATAGACAATGATATTTCTATAAGGTTACATTTCTCTCTGTACATCTCAGTTTGTCGACCATTCCGAGGCCCTGCCCACCAGTTCAAGGTTAAGTGACTTTGAATTAATTAGCAATGTTGCTGTCCATCAGATTGTCTTTTTCTACTTTATATGCTGACAGCAGAGACATATCTATGTGTCAACAGTTTATTTATTAGATAAAATGAATTGTATTAGCATAGATTAAGTACTTGGGACGGGGAATTAAAAATATCATTGATATTGACAAAAAATGCATCATAACTGAGAAAAGATTAGTTCATATATTAATTCCAGTTCTTTCTTAATTTATTTTTAAGATCTATAATTACTTTCTAATGGTGTTGTCAACAGGCTGCTTCTGTATTTTTCCTGTAACTGTATTAGCCTAGACACTGAAGGGTTGAGGATCAATACAGCTGATGAAAATCTATACCATAGAAATATAGAAATGGGCAGTTAATAACACTGTGTAATACAGTTTATCTGTCTACATCTATCAAAACTTATATGTGATAATCAAATTTATCTAATTATATTTTGTAGGTGCTAATAGTGGTGTTGATTCTGGAGACTCTAATCTTGACGCTAGTGTACGTTTAAGTAAACGAAAACGTCGACCACCCAGTGCATTAGAGGACAGTCCTACTTCACAATCCATTGGTTGGGCCAAATCTTGTCTATGGTAAGTATATGTTGGGTTTTTTTAAAGAAATTTCAGACCTCTCTGTCATGGACATTGATAAAAATGCCCTTACATATAAATTGAATACTGTGTTCTTCGTGGAATTGATACAAGCAAACATTAGCAAAATGTCAGTACAGGAATCAGGTATTGACTTTGGAAGGTTGTTTTACAAGGTTAATACCAAATAAGTGCTTACACAAAGGATATATACAATATTGTAATATATTTTATAATTATTTTAGCATTCAAAGCACTGTTATAAATCGTTATATTACTGAATTCTTATATTGACTTGTGACTGATCTCAGTTGAACTCAGCTTTCACTAGTTTGTGTGTTATTGAATATTCTGATTACTTTGTTATTAACTATTAAGTTGTATTGTATCACTGAACATACATGTTACACTAGTAATCATACCTGAATGAATAAAAGGAGATATGGGGTTATGCCAGCCAGACAGCAACCCGACAACACAAAACCCTACAGACAGCCAATGACAAGGTTCCTTAAAACTACAGACAACCAATGACAAGGTGTTCAGACTCATTAACATATAGATATATTTCTACAGGTTAATACAGAGAGTATCTAAGTATAGAGGTTTGAGTAGAGACAAAGGGGAAATGAATGCTGCATCATGGTTCTTAAAACCAGGTATCTTTAATGATGTTTTAAATACAAATTTGATTTGAAAAGCACTGCCTTAGCTTTCACCAAGCCTCATTAAAAAAGTTCAGAAATGAAAGCATCCCTTGAAATTATTCATATAAATCCAAATAATATGCCAGTTATAATTCATCTTTCTAATTTGACAGATTTATGACAAAGTCGAGTTGTGGATACCATTTAAAGTTAATTTCTATACTATTGTTCATAAGTTTGGAATACCATCAATAAACCCTACAATAATGCTAATAATAAACCTTTGTTTATTGTACCAAGCATTTATTGCTATACAATTTTCTTACCTAACGTTTATTGCTTTACAATTTTTTTATGAAGTCATAGCTGATTGAAATATGTCTTTTTCCAATAAGATTAAGTAAAACTTATTTGACTTGCTAAATTTTTCATATTTTTTATTTGATATGAACTAGAAAGTTACTTTTCATTGTTAAAAATTAGTTGTAGTATTTAGATTATTTGAAACAATGAAATATATAAGATTTGTTTTATTTTAGTGGATCCCAATGATGCTCCTGATTATTACAACATTATAAAGAATCCAATGGACTTTGGAACAATCAAAAGAAAATTAGAAGTATGACTGCTTATAATAAGAGTGTAGTTTTTGTCTTGCCTGTCGTGGAAAGCAAAACATAAGTATTGCTTTTCCGGCGACGGTGTCAATTGTTATGTTTTCTGCTTAAGTTAGTTTGATAGGAACTACTTGTGATAGATCATTGATATTTAATTTTCATTTGAATTACTATCAGTACATATCAGTTTGATGACTATTTAGAGGCCCTGCCCCTAAGGTCATGGTCTAGTGACTTTGAATTAATTAGCAATTTTCAATGTTAAGTTTTCTGCTTAAGTTAGTTTGATTGGAAATACTTGTGATAGATCATTGATATTTAACATAAAGTTGCATTACTATCAGTTCATATCAGTTTGACGATTATTTGCAGGCCCTGCCTTTTAGATAATGGTCCAGGGACTGAATTAATAAATCATGTTATCTGTGTCAACAATTTATTTAATTCTTGTTTAGTTGAAAACTTGGAACTTTAAATGTTCCTATATAGTAAAAATTCGATATCAGAAGAAATTAAAGAAATCTGTTGCATGACACTGAATGACTGAACCCATCCTACACTGTTATTATCATAATCATACAAGAGACAAATAACATTATTTTTAGAGGGGCGGAAGGACTTCTGGATTGGGCCTGTATTCTTGCTGGATTTTGGGATTGGGCCTTTATTTTCGTGGGAATTCAGGATTTACACCTATCAGGATTCAGGAATTAATGATCAATTTTTATGCCCCACCTAGGGGCATTATGTTTTTTGGTCTGTGCATCCGTCCGTCCATCCCTCCATCTGTCTGTCCCACTTCAGGTTAAAGTTTTTGGTCAAGGTAGTTTTTGCTGAAGTTGAAGTCCAATCAACTTGAAACTTAGTACACATGTTCCCTATGATATGATCTTTCTAATTTTAATGCCAAATTAGAGTTTTGACCCCAATTTCATGGTGCACTGAACATAGAAAATGATAGTGCCCGTGGGGCATCCATGTACTGTGGACACATTCTTGTTTAGGATCAGAGAAAAAAATACTTAATTTTTGGGGGAATTTGGGATGACACCTCCTCCTGCCACCCCTCTTTAAGTCCTCTATAGTTTTTGATTATTAAAAGTAGTAACTTTTATTTCATTCATGTTTGTTTTAACAAAAAGCCACAAGTTGATAAATATAAAGGAAGAAATAGACATTATTTGACCCTTGTGGTCATCAGTTAATTGAGAAATACTGCTACTATAACCTAATTTTCTTCTTACAGATGGGAAGTTGCAATGATTATGAGGATTTCCATTCAGACATGTTGTTAGTAAGAGACAATTGTAGAACATATAATCCACCAGGCAGTGTTGTGAGAAGGGACTGTGATGAAGTCTTCGCATTCTATATGTCAGAATATGAAAAATTATTAGAAAAATGGCAGAAGGTAAATATTGCTTCATTTCTCTGAAAAATATCAAATCCTGATTTAAAATGAATTTTGAAATTAATAATTGTACATATAGAGTTAAGGGCAGAACACATGTTTGGTTAGATTCTGTGTAGAATGTAAAGAGCAAAATATTAGGATATTTTTTTTCTCACTTTTGTGTAAAAATTTGTGGCATAGGGGAGGTTTGTTTTGTTTTTTCACTGCAAGATTAGTAGTTATTTTAACTTGATGAATTCTTAAAGATTTTTTAGTGGTTTTCTTCTTATTTAATCATTTCAGACATTTACAGAATTTCATCAAATATTTTGAAATTGGAATTTTGTAGGTGCAGTTTCCATCACCAGCATCAAAAAAGTTGAAATTTGAAAGCAGGAGTCCTGTGAAGTGAACCAGTTAATAACATGAACGTTTTTACTAGTAATTTAACACATGTGTTAATTGGAACAGTTGTTAACCAACTTGAATATACTGTACCCTAACAGTAAAGTAACATGCCAAGCATGTTCAGTGTTATACCAACCAGTTTGATTGTGCATTGAAACAGTATAGTCAATAGACAAGTCATTTACATGGTTAAGTTAGTTGAGTGAGAATGAATGAAAGATAGAAACTTCTGTGCCTAGGATGTTTCTCTATTATTTATGCCATTATATAAATAGTAAAATTTTAAATACAGTACAGTGAAAAGCATGGTTGATCAGAGTCTTCAAGTCCTTCTGTGTGACCTGTGTAGTGAAGTCATACAAGTCCTTTAGCAGGACCTGTATAGTGTGTTCAGATTTGTCCTTCAACAATACCTGTGTAGTGTGTTCAGATTAGTCATTCAGCAAAACCTGTGTAGTGTGTTCAGATGACCTGTGTAATGTGTTCTAATTATTCCATAGCATAACTGTCTTGTTTTATTTGCATGATTTCGTCAAGAATTCACATCAGTACTCAAAACTCATCATCTTGTAATATAATTATAAATTATTCATCTTGAATTTTATTGAGTGTATTCATTACTTTTTTTTCTGATCATGTGCAGTCAATGTGCCAAAAATATTGTATTCATATGCAGTGAAAAGATATATTGTTATGTCCAGTTGTTATGTTTTATGTCTAGACTTGAATCATGGTTATAAACGACAAACGTCGAAAATGATTAATGGTGTACAGTTGTATAGTATATTTTTTCACTGTTCTTTTTTGTAACAATTTAATGGCTTAAATTGTTTGAAAATGCTATTGATCCTCAAGTTAAAATGGTATTTTAATATTCCTTTGTCATGGAAGGAAATTACCAGTTTCCCTAATTCTGATGCCATAGGATGAAACATTCTGTACTCAGTTTGTACTTCATTGTTCAGACACAGTTTTTGGTCAGTCATGGTGAAATATTAGGTTCAATGAGAGTCAAGTCGTCTAGTTGATTGATTGCCATAGCTTGAGTATGACTAATGCTGGTTATTACATTTAATTCTGTCATGTGTATGAAAGTACATAAACAACAAGCATCACTGCCATGTTAAAAATAGAACATTATGGTAAAGAAAGCAGTTCAAGCAAAACTGACATGGGTTAAAATGATGAAAGTGATTGGCCTAAATATCCTACACCTTTTGAGTGTTGATGATAGAAGATCTGCTGTTTATACATGATAGAAGTAGAATATTAATGATGGTGCAAAATTATTATTTTAATCTAATTAAATATTGTGAACAAGATGTTATAAGATACTAGTATTTATCATTAAATCAAATTTTTAACAAGTGCTTGTAAATACTAAGTTTTAATGAAGGGCATGGTGCAAGTCATTTGGTCTCATTCAGACCATAAACTATTATAAACTGTACATTATTGTTGACATGTATGATCATTGTTAAGTATAATAAAAACAAATAGTATCTATAGCATAGTTTGTTTCTTGTTTACTGACCAAAAGTAGTGGCTATTTTATATTTTCTTTTTCAAATAAGATTGCCCATTTGTAGTTGAAGATTCATATACATGGTAGCATGCTTGTCTCAAATGTGGGTTCCATCCACAGTTGGTCTTGTACAAAGAAAGGTTTATATTCATACCTGATTAACATGTTTTGTCCTGAATTTGCATTTAAATTGCCAGTGCAGAAAACAGCCATCCATCATCATTATCATCATTATAAATGGGTATTGCTTTTAAGCTCAGCTTGCCCAAAGGTCCATTGTGTGCTTTTCACATCAGTGTGGCTTGTGTTACGGAGAGACTTAACTTAGTAAAAAATTTTGGAAATGACAGAGCCAATTTAAACCAAACTGTCACAATATTACAAAGGATTTTTACCTTAAAAGTATATCTGATTACTGCTAGCCGACCAACCTGTTGTTTCTTTCAACAGACATGTAAAGGGTAACAGAGGCAAAAATGAGAGTAAATATTTAGTTAATTTTTAGTTTCAATATTAACTATAAAATATTGTTTGTAGATGGATCAAATTTATATTTTTTTTCTTTTTAACAAAAATGCAACTAGACATATGCTTCATATTGTTTTTGAGTACTTTCTCATCAAGATCCAATGCAAATGTTGGCAATGTCTGTTGATAAGCCTGTTTCACACAATTTCTACCCCAACTTGCAGCGTTCTCCCCACAAATTTCATATAGCATCCTGGTAAACAGGGAATTTTAAAATACCATATTATTTCTAGAAATTATAGCATCACATCCATAACACAATCTATAACATAATAATCTTAGATAGCATCACATTCAAGCAATGTAGCATCACATTACCATGATGGTAATAGGCCCTGGGGAGAACACTGCCCTAAGATCATGAAAACTGCTACTCTAATGTTTTGCTTTTGATGACTTTGGCTTATGATTAGATTTTTTTAAGAGTCTGAATGTTTGGGAGAATATACGGTTGTTTGCATACCAATTGCACAGGAAACCAAGGTTGTGTTGAGAACAAAGCAGCTATGACAGTTACAGTTTTTTCCTTCTTGTCAAATTTTCAGTAAAACTGCAGTGTTAAGGTGGAAAAATATGTGCATAAGTCACTCCAATTCAAAGATAATACATGAACATCAAAAGCTTTAACATTGGGTCCAAATGTGTCAAAACCTATCCAACGTGATTTAATTTGGATGCAAATTGGTCAATATTACTTATTCTCGAAGGGAAAGAAAAAAACAGCAATAGGTGTTTATACATATGTTTCATTTAATGTTCATTTTATCAGAAGATTAAAATTACGGGAATCGAGTACTGTTGTTCGCCTCAGTTGATATTTAGATAGTCTGTGTTACAGCATTATTATGATGATCCACACATTTTGACATAACCCAGTCTTTAAGGTTATATTTTCCACTATTACTATGGTTTAAACTCCTTCAGAAAAGTGTACACAAGATAAATGTGAACGAAGAAATAGGGTATACATCAATGAGATAGCAACCCAACAACACAATAAAATCAAAGCATTGTCGGTGCTGTTATCCAGTCATTTTGAAAAAAAAAACCTTGATATATCACTCTTTCATTAAATTCAGAAAGATAATTGTATTTTTATGCCCCCGCCGCAGCAGAGGGGGCATTAAGTTTTACCCTTGTCCGTCCGTACATACGTCCCAAAGCTGGTTTCCCTTCTCTAACTTTAGTTTGCCTCAACCAAATGTTATGAAACTTGTACACAATGCTTATTACCACAAAACACAGATCGAATTTGACGGAGTAAAAAAGCGAGACATAGGTATTCTGTTTCCGGCGGCGGCAGCGGCGTCAACAATGTATTAGTTTGTGATTAGGTCTAGTTCTTGGTGAACCACTAGTGGTAGGTCAATGATATTTGGTATGCAGTTGTATTAGCATTGGCACATCTCATTACCATGGGGATGATTTGGCCCTGCCCCCTCAGTCAAAGTCTATTGACTTTGAAACTTTTCGTAGTTTACATGTATTAGTTTGTGATTAGGTCAATTTATGGGGAACCACTAGTGTTAGGTCAATGATATTTGGTATGCAGTTGTATAAGCATTGGCATATCTCATTTCCATGGAGATTATTTGGCTCCGCCCCCTTAGTCATGGTCTATTTACTTTGAAACTTTTGCTTAGTTTACATGTATTAGTTTGTGATTAGATCAGTTCAAGGGGAACCATTAGTGGTAGGCCAATGTTAATTGGTATTTAGTTGTATAAGCATTAGCACATCTCATTTCCATGAAGAATATTTGGCCCCGCCGCCTCAGTCATGGTCTATTTACTTTGAAACTTTTGTTTAGTTTACATGTATTAGTTTGTGATTAGATCAGTTTAAGATGAACTGCTTATGTTAAGTCAATGATATTTGGTATGCAAATTTATTGGCATTTGCAAGTATCGTTTCCATGGAGATAATATAGCCCCACCCCTGATCATGGTTCATTGACTTTGAAACTTTTACATAGTTTACAAGTTAATGTTTGTGTTTAGGTTTGTTTAAAGGGAACGACTTATAATAAGTCAATGGTATTTGGTATGCAGTTGTATTAGCATTGGCATATCTCCTTCCATGGAGATTGTTTAGCCATGTACCTTCAGTCATGGTTCATCGACTTTAAATATATTTGCATAACTTACATGTTAAAGTATTGCTATTTTAATTTCAACATTTGCATTATCAAAGTTATAAAAAAAACGAGACATATCTCTGTGATAACAGTTTATTTGGCCCCTTTTTGGCCCCAAATTCCTAAAATTTTGAGGCAATTACCCCTAAACTCAAACCCAGCTTTCCCTTTGTGATATGGAACCTTGTAGTACAATTTCATAAAGATCCATACACTTACACACAAGTTATTGTCCTGAAACTAGAAAAATGCTTGTTTTTTGGCCCCTAGTGCCTAAAATTTTGAGACAATTACCCCCAAAATCAATCCCAGCCTTCCCTTTGTGGTATGGTACCTTGCAGTACAATTTCAGAGAGAGCCATACACTTGAACACAAGTTATTGTCTGGAAACTAGAAAAATGCTTATTTTTTGCCCCTTTTTGGCCCCTTATTCCTAAACCCTTTGGGCAATTACCCCCAAACTCAACCCCAGCATTCCCTTTGTGATATGGAACCTTGTGGTACAATGTCAGAGAGATCCATACACTAACACACAAGTTATTGTCTGGAAGTTACAAAAATGCTTATTTTAGGCCCCTAATTCCTTAACTGTTGGTACCATAACCCCCAAAATCAATCCCAACCTTCCTTTTGTGGTATTGAACCTTATGGTAAAATTTCATAGAGATCCATTCACTTAAACTAAAGTTATTGTGCGAAAACCAATGTGTCTTCTGACGACGACGATGACGCCAACGTCATACCAATATACGACTGCAAAAATTTTTGCAGTCGTATAAAAATTGCTGAATTTTTCATTTCCTTTCTCTAACTTTAGTTTGCCTCAACCAAATGTTTGAAACGTATACACAAAGCTTATTACCACATAAAACAGATAAAGATCGAAATTGGGTGGTGTCACTTTTACAATTATTGAGTTATGCCCCTTTAGAAACATAATAAACTGCTTCGCTGAGCGCAGCTGGATACGCCCTCAGAGGTCCAACCCTGAACAGTTGGGGCAAAAATGGACACAATATTCAAGCTTGATACAGGTCTGAATTTGGATTGTAATTAAATATTTGACATATTACAGGTTTCTGAATAAATGTAGTCAAAGAACTTGAAATTGTTTATATGAATTGAATTTATATTCAATTAAAGATTTCTTGCTGTTGTGCAATACACTGTGCTGTTGCGCAATACTTAGTAAATCTGTTGTCATACTATAAACAAATAAAGTTCAATTAATTCTCAATGTCATATTAGAAATTTATGAAAATCAAAAGGGAGCTTACATCAATAGATATAAACAATTCACCAAAGTTTCATGAGAATTGCTGACAGCATTTTTGAGTTATTGTCCGAAAACTTGAAAATCCCCCCTTTTTTAATGAATAAAACCCCATTACTCAGAAATGTAAAATGTAAAATTTATAAAATTCTAAAGAGAGCTTACTTAAATAGATTTAAACAATTCACCATAGTTTCATAAGAACTGCTGAAAGCATTTTTGAGTTTTTGTCAGAAAACTGGAAAATCCCCCTTTTTTATGAATAAAACCCTGTAACTCGGAAACGTAAAATCTAAAATTTATAAAAATCAAAAGGGAGCTCATGTCAATAGATATAAACAATTCACCACAATTTCTTGCAAGTTGGTGAAAGCATTCTTGAGTTATTTTCCGAAAACTGGAAAATCCCCCTTTTTTTAATGAATAAAACCCCATAACTCAGAAACGTAAAATTCAAAATTTATAAAAAACGAAAGGGAGCTCACTTCAATAGATATAAACAATTCACCAAAGTTTTATGCAAATTGGTTAAAGCGTTTATGAGTTAATGTCCGACATGTTGACGACGGACGGACAGACGGACGGACGGACAGACGGACAGACGGACAACAGTATACCATAATACGTCCCGTAAACGGGCGTATAAAAACTGCAGAATTAATTGTTTCCGTTCTCTAACTTTAGTTTGCCTCAACCAAATGTTATGAAACTTACCGGTATACACAATATAGAAGGATCTAGAGGTAAACATGATCTTCAATAAACTGTTTACACAGAGATATATCTCGCCTGTTGGCATTAAATTCAGAAAAAGACAATCTGATGGACAGCAACATTGCTAATTAATTCAAAGTCGCTGGACCAACTAGTTGGTAGTTGACAAACTGACATGTACAGACAGTTATGCAACTCGATAGAAAATATCATTGATCTATCGCAAGTAGTTCATATCAAACTAAGCAGAAAACTTAACATTGAAAATTGCTAATTAATTGAGTCACTGAACCATGGCCTAGGGGGCAGGGCCTCAAAATTGTCGTCAAACTGATATGTACTGCTAGTAATGCAACTTCATACAAAATATCATTGATCTATCACAAGTAGTTCCCTTCAAACTAACTTAAGCAGAAAACTTAACAATTGTTGATGATGTCATCACAACTGTCGCCGGAAAAGCATTTCTTAAGTCTTGCTTTCAGCGACTTTCATCGCAGGCTAGACAAAAACAGATGAATGTGTTTACCATTCGACCATCCCAGCTCTTTACTACCCATATTTTTAAAAAGTTATAAACAAATTAGACTATAAAAGATCCGCCATCAACAGATTCCCCAAATGACAAAAAAAAAATTACAATATGACAACTACTGATGAGGTTCGTGACTGCTCTTTAATGCCCTTTTGATCTTTCTTCACTTATCGCTAGTACTTTAAACTTTAAATGCCACAAATTTGGTCATGTTCATTCTTTGGTTCCACTTTTATTTAGCTAATCTCATCGACGTACCCACTATAACTGCAAGTAACTGTTCAATCCTGTTTAACCCTTTCTTTCATAGCTTCATACCCCAATGGTTGACTGGGATATAGAATAAAGGTAATTGCTAAACTTCTGCACTCAAGCAGTAAAACCTTTTCATGTTCAGTTAGATTTAGGACGTTAAATTTGATGCCTCGTATAGGGTGAGTGCCAAAATTAAATTAAGAATTCTTTGGACAAAACTCTGAGGGGTCTGTAGGATGCCTGTTGCTTGGGTAAATGTTCTGCTCCTATAGAACATTCTAAGGCAGGAATATGGCAGTTGTTTTTCAATTGTTACATGGATTGATAGCATTTGTTTTTGTCAGTTTTTATGGACTTCCCTTTTTTAAATTTGCCTTGGAGTTCAGTATTTTTGTTATACCTATTTTCCAGCGAGTCCAAATTTCCAACCCTTCAACCTGGTTGACATACCTTGCAGAATATACATTAAGGATGTTCGCTACTCTTGTTTTTGACTTTTTGTCAGATATTCGGAATCCTCTAGTTTTATCCATGTAGTGCCAATAAAAATTTTGCCCGCTAACCATTACTTTTCTTTTTATAATTTTATAACATATAGTTCTTAAAGGCCATTTTTGAAAATCTTATAAAATCCTTGTTATTTTTTCATAGTTTTTGAGAGAGAATAGGAAGCAATGATAAATGTATGAAAAGTCTAGAGAGAATCATTTCCCGCCAAATTTTCAAATGATTATATCTTAAAAACAAGGACATGGACCTGTAATTGTTTTCTGATTATTAAGTACCGTTATTTATAAACTATCAATTTATAATGGTCTTTTAAAAAGCTTGTTATTTTGAGACAGAGGAGCAAATATCCTTAACTAAGTATAATTTGTTTGTTTATTCTAGTCCTGAATATGCATCAAATATTTGCCATTGGACGTTAAGCAAGCAAAAATCAATCACAATCAGTGCCAAACTGGACATAAGTGAGTTCTGTAATAAGTTGAAAATCATTGAAAAAAGGAAAAAGTTAAAATGTATTTATTCAGTAATACATCTGAGAAGTCCTTTGGAATGATATGATATATATATATATGTATATAATATACATTATAAGCAAATATTTACAAATAAATTTGTTAATATACAAACATAACCATACATATATAATGGATGCAAATAAATACATCATCCTCTCTTCACAAATGTTGTGGATTTCACAGAATTGGTATAGTGGTCTGTCTAAGGGCTGTTTCAAAATTTTTGGGTGGGGGTATGACAGGCACTCAAATTAAATAAATATTGGTGGTTGAATTTTCCTCAGAATTTTTATTTTATGGGTGGTCAGGTCTTAAAAAAGAGCCTTCCATGTCCCAATGTGTTTAATTTTGGGACAGCCCTTAGCATTTAATATATGGAATATGTTGATGTCTCCTCAAAATAGAGCTTTTTTTTATGGAGGATTTATTCACCAGGCTTCCAATGCCAACTACTCTTGAAAAAAATTTCTTACAAAGAGATGATCTACAAAAAATGAGAGATTAAATTATTGTAACCATATTGAATCACTATTAAATTAAGATCTCACTGGATGGCACATACAAATAGACTGACATTTGCTTGAAGATAGAACAAAAATAGTTATACATTTTAGAAATTTGAATGCAGCTAAATAGAAAAAGAAATTTATCAATGAAATTGCTTTATGATTTTTAAAAAACACAAGTCATTCTAATGTGTGAAAATAACTGTATACCAGAAGAGTTATGTGAGCATGGCATTCAGTCGTTAAAATTAACTAAGTATAGTATTCCTGTAAAGCTTGGTGATGTATCAAAATCATGGTAGCAAAAATTATCTCAAAATAAAACTTTGTTGTCAGCTACCATTGTTTTATTATTTTCAAAAACAATACGTTGTCACTGATCATTGTTCTATTTATTTGAAAACGGAAATTGCAGCTCTCTCGGACACGGAAAATAACATTGCTTTTTCAAAGCCATATCAAATTGATTGTTGTCCCTCAGATTTTCTTTCAAATATAAACATATTAAAGTTTCAGTAATAAATATTTTCCCATAAAAACAATAAATCAAATGATGAATGTATTAACCTAATTTTATCTTTCAGAAATACAATCAGATGTAACCTATCTGGTATCAATATTGGTTTAATGTTAACATTTTCAGCATCCAAAGAAACAGACATTTCATACGCAAAAAAAAACATAAGAAATTAGATCTCAATCTTAATGAAAATGTACATAGTTTGTTATAAATTACAAAATGTATATATGTACACTTTATCCTGAACAATTCTGATTGTCAATCATTGATGAAACTCATTAACTTTTGGCCCCTTTGTATTTACTATTTTCAGTCAAAATATGAAGCTTTGTTGAGCTAACTTAAAGTTTAAGCATTTCTAGTCTAACATCAAAGAGAATATGACAGGTTTAATATTAACTGATTTTAAAATGCATATATCATTTTGGTTGTTTGATTTATGATATACTACTTACAAGAACTACATAAATACAGGTATAATATATCTTCAAAGTTTAGAAAATAGATAAAATAAAATTATACTAGAACTATATTCTATTACATGTCCTATAATTAACAAGAAAAACAAAGTTTTAAAAGGTCATAAACACCCTTTGTTATAATTATCACCCATATTTAACATGTTACTTCGTCTAATTTTGTCTAAACTATCATTGGATACCCAAAAGATCTAACAATTTTGGTAAGATTGCTGATCTAAATTACACAAGAATAAATTTAATTCAATGAGTTTGTAAGCATTCTATGTTGAAATTAAAATTAAACGACAGTTCTGAAAATAAACTAGTAAATGCTACAACTTAAAATTCAAGCTACTTCAATAAGTTGACCACATTAGATCTTTTTTTATGAAAGGGAACTTCAAATTAAATTTCATCCTTAGTTTAAAAAAAATAACAAGCAGGAAATGAGCAGACATTTTTATCAGCCATTCAAGTTACTGCAAGTAAAAGTATTTTGAGCATGGCCTTGGTATGCCATGCCATTTTCACATAAGAAAATAAACTTTACCATAACAAACTACACCCATTCTGTCTAATACATTCTTTCATCACTGACATATTCAAATTATAACACATTGAAAACATACACTAACAAACAAACTTTCAAACAAGAAAGAAGGGAAATAATTTGTTGTTCATCATTATATAATGTTTAAAAGTGATATTACAGAATAGTTGCTCAAGTCTATATATAGAATTGCACAATTATGTCTAAATTTGTTAAATAAATACATATACAGATTAATCAATTGGGTCACTATCAAATATTGGTCAATTATAGCCATTTAACATAATATATATAATAATACATTAACAAAGATAAATAAAGTAACATGAAATTATACAACTAAGTTGGCACTGTTATCCTTCCAATGTTCTCAAAAATGATCAAAATTAGTACAAATTAATAATTGGCTAAAACTGGGAGGAAAACAGTAACTTCCTGATTTTGTTTTTAGAAATGATTCTTATCTATATAAAAGACAGTCTACAGAGGATCACAGGAACAAATCTTTCCTCATTATCTGTATATAAATGTTCCATTTCCATGGCAACACAGTTTAATTAGAATATATATGTTTATAATTAATCCTAGTGTTGACCAAAATGATTATACCATTTTTAAGTCAATATAATATATTCATCAGAACAATGAAATGTTTCTAATTAGAAATAGGATCCATTTTTTTCAAATTTGATTAACGAACATTAATGCTTTGAATAGTAAATGAGTTCTACATAAAAATTCAACACACTGTGTTTTCTTCTGCACTAGAAGTCATTGATCCTATATAACCTGCATTCATGTGATATCAAAGAACAATTAGTTTTGTAGCTGCCTGTATTCAAATCTTTTGAATACAAACATTTTTACTTAAATAATAAAGGTTTACAAAATGTTGATAGGCTCCAACAATAAGAAATTCCTGTACAATAATGCAGTGGTTTAAGCTTTCTTTCTGTCAGATATACATTTTGACCCATTTATAATGATGTTGTACAAGGATTGACGATGTAATGAAGGAGAGCACCATCACTTCTTGCCATGTCAAGTAATGTTAGCACTTTCTATAAAATGTTTGTTTATCACAGTAGAATCAGTCTATGGACCATCATGTATGTAACCGTATTGGTAATGCTAACTGGTGTAACCTAGGCAACTACAACTGCTAGGAAGGCCTAAAATAAACAAAGTAAACATTATATAACATTTTACAATTAATCCTTACAGATTCAGGGTCAAAATTTGATAGATGTCTATACTTGACGTCAAGCTTTTAGTTGTCAAGTCTAAAATGTTTAGAGTAAATCAAATATAGACTATTACAGATCTGCCGTCAACAATAAATTCTCCAAATAACAAACAACATAAAGATTTGACATAAGACAATCACAACAAATTCTCCAAATAACAAACAATATAAAGATTTTACACAAGACAATCACTCCAAATAACAAACAACATAAAGATTTGACATAAGACAATCACTCCAAATAACAAACAACATAAAGATTTGACATAAGACAATCACTCCAAATAACAAACAACATAAAGATTTAACATAAGACAATCACTCCAAATAACAAACACCCCTTTTTTTAACATCAGTGGACACACAAAAGTTACAAAATTAATTAGCACTGGGTTGATACAGATGTTGGTGGACTACTAGTCCCTCAGAGCATCATCAGTCCATGGCTTCCACACTGTTATGATTTATAGCATATATTTCTTTTTAAAATTTTCTGTTGATAAAATAAGAAATTATTAAAAAAACTTAAGGTTCCAACTCCCTCAGACAAAATTGAACTTAGATGATTTTGGCTGTTCTGTTTAGGTTCCTTTAGGTCTCATAACTCATATATATATATATATATATACATTTAAATGCAGCTACATACAAAGTTTAATGGTTGTAATGGGTCTCAGAACTCTGAGGGTACTCTAATGATTCTCAACCCAATGTCATCACAGGTTGTTTCTGGAACAGACCAGAGTTGTGTATAGTTATTTACATTGTCAAAACTCTGCTTATTTTTTTTTTTAATATTTTCTTTCAATAGCTGAGGTCAATAAACTGAGTGCATCATATCTTGTTGACTAGATAATTATATAAGCCTATCTAATAATCAAAACTCAGAGACAAGATATACATATTTGACTTATTCAAAGCTTTTATTCTGGATCAACTGAAAATGTCAACATACCATTACACAATGATAATATCAGCCGTTATATGAAAGCCTGTTAATCTTACCTTTTAATCTTATCTACAGCTCGTCTAACATCAACTCCTCCCTGTGATACTGAGGCTAAACGACTTACAACACTCGTTAAAAATTCGTCAACAATACCAGGACATGATCTCTCAACCAATTCAAAAGCATTTTTGAGTTCATCTACCGTTTCGGTTCTTTGAACAGGTCTACCGTTGCGTCGATAATCTTCATAGTATTCTGATTTTAGCTGCAATGACATCATAAAGATTACATTTAAAATGACAAGACATCACCAAAATAAAATTTTGATCTTCATAAGACCATTTAATGTGTTCAGAAAAAATCTGGAAGAAACACTGGTGTATGCAATGATATTACAGAAGATTATTAATTACAACGTTAGTATTAATGTTTTCTCTAAGTGCCGCCTACTTTCTATCAAGTGGGTTAAGAAAAACAAATCCTAGCAAGATGGTCACAGAACATGGTAGCACTACCAGCTCAGTGCTGCGTGGTTGCAGAGGAATGTGGAGTAATTAGAAAAGGTGTGAGATATCTAAATATCAAGCTTTATTTAATTGCATTTAGAGATTAACTCACTTATCCTACTTATTTGCCAAACATATGTATTTTCTGTTTATATAAATATGAAATGCATATCAAAAATAGTTGACCAAGTACAACAACTTATTTGGTACACAGTTTTATATATATAAGCTGTACTGTGTGTATGTATTGCCTGTTCCATACTACTTTTATTTCTTTTGTTAACATCCTCTTCTGATAAGTTTCAATTCAAAGACTAGAATAATTTTTTTTTTTTTTTTTGGTCATTTGTATTTCTAATATAATGTCATATACAATTCAGTGTATTTTACCTTTTTAAGCCTAATTTGTGTCTTTAAATGCTATTGTTGAATGCTAATTCATTGTTTTAAGTATAACTTCTAACAAGATTGCACATGCTAAAATGTCTCCCCTCCTTTACTTATCATGATTGAATGTATGATGAAAGTCTGTAATATGAAGGTTTGACTACAAGTATCACATAAACTTAACACTATCAATGATCCATGTAAATGAGGTCAAATTCAGATGAACATGTTCACCTTACTTTCATACCATACAACACATAAAGTAAGCCTATTGCTATAAGAATCTTAGAAACAGATCTAATAAAGAAAACTGAACACTGAAGAATGGACCATAAAAATGAGGTCAAGGTCAGAGGAACTCTGTCAGACAGACATGTACACTTTGTAATCATTCCATACACCAAATATAGTTGACCTACTGCTTATAGCATCTGATATACTAATAAAACTATGAAAAATTACACTGACCAATGAATCATGAAATTGAGGTCAAGGTCAGATGGACCCTGTCAGAAAGACATGGACACTTTACAATCATTCCATACACCAAATAAAGTGGACTTATTGCATAAATGGTCTGAGAAATAGACCAAACCACAAAATATACTTTGTCCAATGAACCATGAAAAAAGGTCAAGGTCATATGAAACCTACCAGTTAGATATGCACACCTTACAATCATTCCATACAGCAAACATAGCTGACCTATTACTTATAGTATCTGAGATAGAAACTTGAGGACACAAACTAAACCTTGATCACTGATCCATTAAACTGAAGTTGAGGTCAGGTGGACCAGTCTGACAGACATGTAGACCTTGCAAAGACACAAAGACACAAATACACAACATATAGCTATCCTATTACTCATAATAAGCGAGAAAATCACATGACAAAACTACTATAAATAGATATAAGAAGATGTGGTATGAGTGCCAATGAGACAATTCTCCATCCAAGTCAAAATTTATAAAAGTAAACCATTATAGGTCAAAGTACGGTCTTCCACACGGAGCCTTGGCTCACACCGAACCGTAAGCTATAAACTTGTTTCAAGCAGTCCCTGAACCATGAAAATGAGGTCAAAAACAATGGACATATGACATGACTATAATTGCTTACATCCACTTCATTTGAACTCTGGTGGATAGTTGTATCATTGGTAATCATACCACATCTCCTTATTCGTAACAAAGTATCTGCATACTTCTAAAATATTAGGCTTTTTACAAATATTTAATGCTGTCTGCCGATTGTAATTTCTATGGTGCATTCTGCAACTGCAAGCAAGACAAAAATGATCGAATGTACTATTTTACAGGAGTAGGAATAGCATGTCTGCTAAAAAAAATTCTACCAGTCAAGGATATAACTCTATAGGGTTATTACAGAATAATAACATACATTTGTTATTGTGGACTAAAAAATCAAAGAACTGTAATAACATATGTATGTTACATGTTTCAAAGGGACAATATACATCACTAGTTTAGTTAAAATGATTACAAGTTCTATTGATATTACTATTGCCTTTATGTATACTTAACTATAGAAAGATATAACAGTTCATAGTTTGCCAATTTTGCATAGTACACCTATATGTTATTACAGAAAAAATATGCCTGTAATAACTAAAGGGTGTTATCACAGCTTCTCTATATCACTCCAAAGCATTTTCTCAGACATACATCATGCTTAATTACAATGTATTTTAATTTATTGTAAGAAATAATGACCAGAGCATGTAATGAGGTTCTGGGCAAGCTTCCCAGTAATTCCCAAGTGTCTAATATAATAGGTTAAATTCCTTTAATAACTAAGCTATGTTATTACAGCTAATTTTATCCCTTAAAAGCCTCGTCCTATTTGATTTACCATGGTTAATAAAAAATGTATTAATTTAATTAAAAAATTAATTATCAAGGCTATGCATTTAGTTTCTGCTCAAAGTCTCAAGAGTTCCCTAGAGCCCAATATAAATTAAAATATTTTTGATTTATTTTACAAATAACTAACATATGTTATTGCAGATTTTGAAAATTTAAGGAATAAAGAGTAGACAACTCATGAAAGTATCTGTAATAACACACGCAAGTTATTTTCTGTAATAACCCTATAGAGTTATATCTCTGACTGTCTACCCAAGCTATGTTTACAGCATTAAAAATAATTTCATCCTGTTGTGTACACTTGAAACAAGTGTACATATTTGATGCCTCAAATATAAATAAAATGGTATTTAGTGGTTTTCTGCTGAATGCTTCGTCCAATTCAGACTTTTTTTGCATTGTGCAATAGATTGTTTACTATCAGTCACTATGTCTTGGTTCATCTTCAGTGGTCAACCTAAATGTTTTTTAGCAAGTAATGTCAATGTAAATGACACAATTTTATGACACAATTTTCATATACAAACTTTAAACCTTTCATAATTTGGAGAAAAAAAAATCTACCCATCTACCCATAGCAGACAGGGTAGTTTTTGTTCAGTGTTTTGGCCAAAAATGCAGTTGTGATAAAAACCTGATATAGCCATAAAACAGTATGTAGTCTATAAAAGATTAAGGAGTTTATCAAAAGACATCACTTACTGTAGAAAGTAAAGGTACTACTGTGTTAGAAAGACTGGAAGACTGGCGCGGTAATTCTATCATAGACGTTGGTCGGCCTGGACTTGGGGGCTGGGGAGCTGGCTGTCGACTTTGCTACAATATACAAAAACAAATTATTTTTTTTCTTTTCTCGACTTCCATTTTAATCATTGAATTCTCCTGAAGCTCAAACAATTGTCCAAACTGACAGAACATGCTGCTGAAAGAATGTTATAATACATTTTTAAGATATACATGTACAACATCAAATACAACATAATCATTTCATTATCATTACTACTATCAAATATTATACTTTGGAAAGCTTCTCTATTAAAAAGACCTCATTACTATTATCAAATATTATACTTAGGAAAGCTTATCTATCTAAAAGAGCTCATTACCATTATAAAATAACACAAACAATCACCTGAAATAAATAAATTAGCAGCATAGCTATGTTTATTGTAGCTGTTTTTTTTTAGAAAAGTTTGCCTGTGAGAGAGTCGTTTTTAATAGTAAAAACAATATAACATATAACGTGACAACTTCAACAAGCTTTGAAGGGACTGGAGAATAGAGAAAGATATAAAACAGTTACAAAATAATCTACAATATCATATGCAAGTATCATGCTAATATTCATGCACAGGTCCCATTATTAAGGTAATAATCTACACAAAATACTAAATCTAAAGGTATAACATGTATGTTTTTATGTATTTTCTGCAGTACTATATGAATCCCATAATTTTCACAATCATATTATTGGTACATAAAATTGCACATAAGAAAAATTAAGAGTCCTTATTTCTAGTTCTTTTGAATAACTTTCAGATGCTTAACACCATGTCCTTCTCAATTATATTTCTACACAAGTTTTATTTTATTTTAGCTACACACATTTTGGTATTTCTACTCAGATTAATTTAGATTGAAACACCGAAAAATAATTTTCCTTCATAAATCATAGCCTAACCTGCAAAGTTTTACATTTCCTCCTTATATATAATTAGAAAACATTAATAGAGACAACAACATAAACAAGTAATGATTGTTAAATAAAACATGAATTTGCTTCAATAATTACACATTTTAGGTTCATGTAGAAGACATCATGTGCTCTTCCTAAACAGTGAACAACAACTGGTATAAAGTGAGAAATACTGTTTTAATAACATATAAACATGCTTACAATAAAAAATCCATCCTCATTTGGCACATATACCAATAAATGAAGAATATGTCCATGGGACACAGATGCAACCGCTTGTAAAAATACGGCAAATTCTGCAATTTTTAATTAACAAAGGGACATAACTCAATAGCGACGAAAGTGATGTCACCCAAATTCAAATTTGATCTGTGTATGGTGGTGATAAGCATTGTGTTAAAGTTTTATAACATTTGGGTGAAGCAAACTAAAGTTAGAGTGGGGAAACTGCAAAAATGTCAATTTCTCCATTTATAAAGGGACGAGAATAGTGAAAGTGACGCCACCCAAATTCAAACTTGATCTGTGTTTGTTGTATATTTGATTGAGGCAATCTAAAGTTAGAGTGTGGAAACAGCAAATTTAGCAATTTTTTCATTTATATTTAGTGACATAACTCGAGAAGGGTGAAAGTGTCACCACCTAAATTCAAACTTGATCCGAATTTGGTGGTAATAAGCATTGTTTGAGTTTCATAACATATAGTTAAAGGGAAACCAAATTTGGGACATATGGACAGACAGACAAGGGTAAAACTTAATGCCCCATCCACCGTGTCGGGAGCTTAAAAAAAACTAAACTTTTTCTGATCAGGACAAAAATAGACAGGTTGTTTTTATTATGCCTAATGAGCATTGTAGAACAATTGGAGAACATAAATTAATGAATCAAAATATACTGAGAATATTTCATCTTTGTCAAAAATTTTCTAAATAAAATGCTTAAGAAATACATAGTAATAAAAAAAAAACGATGTCGTGGACTATGTCAATCAGGAACACAAGTAGAGGCTATCAAAAGATGGATTGGCAAATACAAATTTTTAAAAGGAGTCTCGGTGATAGATCCCGTCTATCATTGTAAAATTAGTTTAGTTCCTGTCAAAGTATTTTAGATGTTTATAAAGCAGATCCCGTCTATCATTGTAAAATTAGTTTAGTTCCTGTCAAAGTATTTTAGATGTTTGTAAAGCAGATCACGACTGTCATTGTAAATTAGTTTGTTTCTATCACGGCAATTTAAATATTTACCGTATACAACAGATCATTTAACCAACTGTAAGTCCAGACAACTATCAAAATAAAATTTGATCCCCCTCCTAATCGCTGTATTCACTGTTGTATTCACAGACTAAACATGCAAACAATTCATAATTATTACATATACCATAAAATACAAACCCTGACTTTAGTGAGAAGCTTTAATGTACTAGACTGACATGCACCCTTGATTAGATGAACTTTTTTGGGCTTAATTTGATGCAAGAACTGCACAAAATTTCAAGCTGCAGAACTCCAAGAAAAGGTAAATTTACATTTGAATTTGCAATGCAACACCCACAATTGGATGATACTAGCAAAGTTTTTATGAGATGTTTTCAGGAGTCAAAACATCAAAACCTTAACAGATCTCTAAAACTTGGAAAACTTTCATTTCTAATTCATCTAGCCAAGGTGTTAGTTAATATAAATATATTATATATGAAATACATTCTTTTAGAAATGTGTAAGAGAATAGAACAGATTGTTATATCAAGAGGCGAAACAAAGGAAGGACTCACATGTCTAAATTGTATAATATCAGGGCCCCTGTTGACCCCATATGGTTTTGGCGGTATATTTGCAGGTATATCATACTGAGATTTAGGACGTGATGATGGCTAAATAAAGATAGAAACGTGACATAACTATAAAGTATATACAGACGTGACATATATCTATTTTATCTTGTGTCTGTTATAATAAATTACTAAGGACCTATGTATACAAAATCTAGTTTTCCACCCAAAATCAAGACTATGAATATTTTGGAAACATTCTTTTGAAGTAAATATTTTTCTAAATGAATCTATTAAATAGATATTTTCAAAGAATTTCATAAAATGTATGCTAAATTAACTTTGAAATCGATTCATGATAAATTCTATTTATATTTACTACAGTTTATAGTTGTATTGTACAACATGGTTTCTTTTTTTCTTCAAACTTGACCCCTTTACACATTTCAAATTATTAGTAAACCACTAACTCAAAAAACTTCACACAGTTAATATAATCACTATTTTCAATAAATTCACATAATTAAACCAAATCTGTTAATAAATCATTATTTTTACGAAATTTCACACAATTAATAGTTAAATCCACTTCAACACATTAGGGTTAATACCTAACCTTTCACACAATCGAATATTGGATGTAAGACAACGCATTAGACTTACTCGATTGACATGATTGGATGGGTTTGCAGGATACGCAGGGTAATATGAAGATGAAGGTTGTGCATCGTCAGAGTGACTACGTTGGTGAATGGGTGCGCCCTGTAAATACCAAGCAGACACATAATATTCTACTGTCAAGCAACACAACAGCAAGCAACTAAAGAGAAAAATCATCATTACACATAGACATATATCATGTATATACTATGATTTAGAAATAATCAACACACATATACATATATACTTTTATTTAGAAATAATCATTACACATAAACATATATACTTTGATTTAGAAATAATCAACATACACATACATATATACTTTGATTTAGAACAGAAAACACCTAAACAGAAACCGTTCAAGTTCCCTACAAAAATAAAGCACTTCGTTCCCTGAGGTATAATAAAATAAATCAACTGACTGTTAAAGAATATATAGGTATATTTATCTTACAAATAAAATATGTCACATTACATTGACAAACTCAATGAATGTCAAAAGATTTATTGACTAAAAATAAGCAAAATGCATTACTAGTAATGAGGCAAATATGCAGCTGGAAATGACTTGAGGAAGTCTTAATAGTCTACATACAATAATTTCTTAAGAAAACTAATATATAACAACAATGAGTATTTGGTATTAAGTAGTAATACCACTTTTATTAAAGGGACAAAATAAAATAAAATGCTTTTTTTTAAGTAAGTAAACTCCCAAGTATATTTGATGATGTAGTTTCCCAAAACAATAACTGAGACTTAATGCATCATTTGGATAAACGAAAGTATTGACAATATGACCCTAATTATTTACTTTATTAGAAACCAATTTTCAGGAATTCGAAGAAAAACTGTAATTTTGTGGATACTTGATTTCATGGTTTTGAAAAATTCTCCATACAAGTCTATAAAAACTCTTTTGTTAAACATTGAAATAGTTTTTCGCCAATTCCCAAGAAATCTATCAAAATTATTACACTAAGAATGATACTAAACCCACAGTATATATATAATATCATCACCTAAACAATAACAGATATTTTAAAGACATGAATCTTTATACACACAAAGTATTTAATAATTTCCTACGAGATTTCTATATACCGTTACAAGTGTAAAGCATATTTCTGTTTACAAACCTGTTTAGATTCACTTGCATAGCATCAGTATTTTTTTTTTTAAATCTATGATATAGGTTTCAATGTTCTATTTTTGTGTATATAATTTATGTGTTTTTTTTTTAATTAGAATTCATTTAAACTGGTTCTGACCAGTTTTATAAATTTTGATGTACCACAAGTTAATTAAAAGTGTCTGTCTTAATTTGGCAATATCAATTTAATACATTGACTCAACAAGTGCCTAACACACAAAACAAAACATAAAATATAAACCAATTGACGTGCCTTACAAGACAATGACAAAATTGTTGGTTACAGCGATACAGATGTACCTTTGACAGTATTGCACAAAAGTTAAATATCATTTATAGATAATGACATAAAAACAATTAATTCCATGGAAAAAAAATACCAAAAAATCTTCGCCAATTTCTGATGATTTAAGTTCCATAACTTATACATATTTGAAAGAAAAAATCCAAAACCATCAAATTCAAGTGGGTTTCATTTCTTTAATGTAAATGTGTTATCAATGTAAAGAAACTTTAGTTATTGTAAAAGTAGAAACATTTTTTTACCTATCAGAGGATTTTAGCCCAACTACATTTGAAAAACATGAGCATATTTCACAAATTCATATCCAACCTTCTATTCGTATAGGCAAGGCAAAATCTCTGTTTAGTAATGATAAATCCCTCAAATGAATTGAAATCAAGATTTGTCCCTTTTTTTTATCATGCTGAAAATACAACTATCAAAATGAATGGTGTCATACGTTTAGTAAGAACTTAAGATTCAGAATATGAAAGAGAGGTTAAAGTGAAGCTATAGTTGATATAACGATGCAAAATTTTAGTACTATATATAGAAACACCACCAAAGCCTTGAAAGAATTGACTTACATCTTTACGGTCATTTAAAACTGGAGCTGATTCTGTGCGTCCAATTAATGGTCCTTGTGGACCTATATGTCCAACTATTGGTCCATGAGTAGGACCTCTCTGTCAGAGACATTTACAAAATGTCAATAACTTTATACACATGTAAATTGTTTCTCTTACAAATGATTTTACCAAAAAAATTTCAAAATCACAGCAATTATTAATTTAACTTTCTCTTTTCTACTTTTAACAGAACATTAACAAGGTAATTTTCTCCTTAATTTAACATTATTCTCCCTATCTCATTTTGGCATCATGTTGCCCTTATCCTATAAATTTTAACACTCAGGAATAATATCTCCAAGGTTTTATTATCAAATCTTGTCAACCCGTAGATTTCCTGTCTGCCTAGATTCTTTTTCAAATAAATGAGGGAAAAAACTACCTACACCATTAATTCTACTCTAACATATCAAGCAAAGTGATAAGAGATTTAGAAATTTTTACCAAATTTCCCAGAAGCAGAGATATTCAAGGTGTCTTTTACTACTTTTAACTAAACATATTACAAATAAAACTGGTTAATAAAACAATGTCATTAATCTTCCCCATCATCAACAGGGTTAAAGCTCAAAAGGTTAACATGTGAAGATTATAGGTAAACTTACAGCTGGGTGATTATATGGTTGACTATCCGGTATTCTCTCTTGTTTTCTAGGACCAATATTGTAATTCTGTAACACAAAGAATCATGCAGTCTCGAATCACATGCAATGTACAGATTAAGGGGAGGGTGGTCAAAATATTTGGTATCTGCTTTTATTATCAATACAAGATGTAATATGTTTGCACTTTTTGTTTTTATGACGCAAGTTTTTTCCTTTTCTTTTTTGGGACAGGTAGCATATATTATTCAGGATATAAAATACTTTGATGTATGGTTATTTAACAATTTGATAGTGAATATCTATGACCAGGAAAGGAATGGTTTATTTACAAGAATATCCAATGAATGTGCAAATTTGGGGGATAACATATGTCCCTATATTGGCCATAAAAGAAATAAATAAAACAGTTATAAAGATTATCAATATTACAACAATTACTGAAATAAATACTAGAATTTAGCAAACAAGCATATTATATACAGAAAACTATTCCTGAAAAGGCAATTATTCATTTAAAAAACATTAAGCAAGTATATGTTGAGCTACTGAATCACTCACTGGTCATTAGAGATGAGCAATACTATATAAATTTATAGTTTTACTAGTAATCACGGAATTCAGAAGAAACTGTCTGGTTTTTAAATTATTTTTTTACATGTGTTTACTTGATCAGTTTACTAAAACTGAATGGCAGTCTAATGACAGGCATATCAATCTAATTTGGTTTTTATACTTTTCATACTATATAAAACTAAAACTTATATACAAAATTATTCTTCTGATGACTTCCGCTGAAAAAAATCCTCAACATGTTAATCTAACCTGCTACCCTATGACTAAGCTATCAGCACTGAGTTACACAAAAACTAACATTCATTGGTTTGTTAGAGAATCCAGTGTGATTTAATGTATGAGAATCATTAGCTTAGAATAAAAGTAATTCATGCAAATCTTCCAAAGTTTTAAAGTAAAATAAAATGCTCCGCAGGGCGCAGCTTGATACGACCGCAGAGGTCGAACCCTGAACAGTTGGGGCAAGTATGGACACAACATTCAAGCTTGATACAGCTCTGAATTTGGATTGTGATTAAATATTTGACACAGCATAGGTTTCTGACACAGAATGAATGTGGTCTAAGAACTTAAAAATTTTAAATTGGACATTCACCTATTATGGTCCAATATCCAAAATCTAAATACATGGTTAGATTCAGCATATCAAAGAACCCCAAGAATTCAATTTTTGATGAAATCAAACAAAGTTTTATTTTAGACCCTTTTGACCTCAATGTGGACAAAGTTGATAACGGGGCCCAAAAATCAAAAATCTAAATACATGGTTAGATTCAGCATATCAAAGAACCCCATATATTCAATTTTTGTTGAAATCAAACAAAGTTTATTTTGGACCCCGATTTGGACCAACTTGAAAACTGGGCCCATAATCAAAAATCTAAATACATGTTTAGATTCAGCATATCAAAGAACCCTAAAAATTCAATTTTTGTTAAAATCAAACTAAGTTTAATTTTGGACCCTTTGGACCTTAATGTAGACCAATTTGAAAACGGAACCAAAAATTAAGAATCTAAATACACGATTAGATTCGGCATATCAAAGAACCCCAATAATTCAATTTTTGATGAAATCAAACAAAGTTAAATTTTGGACCCTTTGGACCTCAATGTGGACCAATTTAAAAACGGGGCCCAAAATCCAAAAACTTAATACACGGTAAGATTCAGCATATTAAAGAACCCCAAGAATTCAAGAATAAAACCCCATTGAAATTGATCAAGAAATAAGCAATTTATACGATTATCTTCTTTTGCACAATACTGTGCAATTGAATATTTCTTGCTATTGCGCAATACTGTACAATTGACAATTTCTTGCTATTGCACAATATTGTGCTATTGGATATTTCTTGCTATTGCGCAATACTGTGCAATTGAAGATTTCTTGCTATTGTGCAATACTGTGCAATTGAAGATTTCTTGCTATTGTGCAATACTGTGGAATTGAAAATTTCTTGCTATTGCACAATACTTATTATATAATAATTTACACATCCTGTTTGGTGTGTATCTCCTACCATATCATTATTATTTGCTTTTAAATATAAATTAGAAATAACCAACTTAAAATGGAAAATTTTAAAAGAAAAAAAGAAAATCCCCCCCCCCCCAAATTTTTTTAACCCCCTTATGATTCATCACCCCCAAACTCAATCCCAGCCTTCCCTTTGTGGTATGGTACCTTGCAGTACAATTTCAGAGAGATCCATACACTTGAACACAAGTTATTGTCTGGAAACTAGAAAAATGCTTATTTTTGGCCCCTTTTTGGCCCCCAATTCCTAAACGTTTAGGGCAATTACCCCCAAACTCAATTCCAGCTTTCCCTTTGTGATATGGAACCTTGTAGTACAATTTCAGAAATATCCAAACACTTACACACAAGTTATTGTCATGAAACTAGAAAAATGCTTGTTTTTTGCCCCTTTTTTGGCCCCTAATTCCTAAAATTTTGAGGCAATTACCCCCATAATCAATTACAGCCTTCCCTTCGTGATATGGAACCTTGTGGTACAATGTCAGAGAGATCCATACACTTACACACAAGTTATTGTCTGGAAGTTACAAAAATGCTTATTTTTGGCCCCTTTTTGGCCCCTAATTCCTTAACTGTTGGTACAATAACCCCCAAAATCAATCCCAACCTTCCTTTCGTGGTATTGAACCTTATGGTAAAATTTCATGGAGATCCATTCACTTAAACTAAAGTTAGAGTGCGAAAACCAATGTGTCTTCGGACGACGACGACGACGCCAACGTTATACCAATATACGACCAAAAAATTTTCAATTTTTGCGGTCATATAAAAATGTGAGAAAAAAATAATTAGTTAAGAATTTTAATGAAAATGAAAAAAAAAAAAGCTTTCAAATTTTTATGTAAAACAGTTGCTGAACATATGACAGGAATAGTTATAAAAACACATGATATTCCCTCAAAATTTAGTGAAATAAATCAAATACAGTGAAAACCAACACAAGGAATATTATTGATGAGAAGTATATCTAGCTCAAACTATCAAGTTAAACTAGGGGTAATCTTATCCTACACTATATGCTAATTGACAATGTTAATATTTCTGTTACTGTAATTGAGAATACATAAGAAGCTTTGAAATATTCAATAAATAAATGGGCAATGTGTCCATGGGACACAGATGATGCCCCCTCTCGCATAAATTGTTATAAAGGGACAGACATAACTCAAGAACGATAAAAGTGACGCTATCCAAATTCGAACTTGATCTGAGTTTTGTGGTAATAAGCATTGTGTACAAGTTTCATGACATTTGGTTGAGGAAAACTAAAGTTAGAGAATGGAAACCAATTTCAGGACGTAAGGACATATGGAAGGACATACAGACAGACAAGGGTAAAACTTAATACCCCCTCTGTTCTGGCGGGGGAATAAAATGAAACTTCAGGTATCTATATCTAAACATATTACTTTCTCAATACTGTCAGCCAACTTCTCTGTATGAGCAGATTATTTTTTTACCCAGTGGGGACAGAAGAAGCTTATGATGAGTAGGGTGTATTTATTGAGTCCAACAATCCCTCAGAAATTTTTGAAATGTTGATGATTTAGAAAAACAACACTTTCCATTAAAACACATGAAACAGTGAACATAACATGCATACCATTTTATGACTGAAAAACTTTCTGCCAAATCAAATCAAAGTTATTCCTAAAAGTTTTTAAACTGTGAGGTGAAAGTAACAATATGTTTTTTCTTTTTATGTCTACGAGATTAACCAAACCATCAGGACATACCAGACTTAGGCTTTAGAAACTAAATACTGTTACATTAAAGCTATGAATTTTGATATCTCAACTACAGTACACTAAATGGAAAGTAAGCTGTAAGTAAATATCTGACTATCACACCACACTAAACTGCACACCACAGGACTTACATTAGTGTCCTCATGCATGGGATTGTTGGGGGGAGCCGGAGGGGCAGGGCGTTTCTGTTGATTCTGTAAAATTCAATATAATTTTGCTGCAGCTTACAAATTAAATCCACTTTTCTAAACAAGAATGACTTATCATTGTTATTGCTGATCAAAGTATTGGTTATACAGCATAAGTCAAAATAGACTTTTATTTGTAACCTGAATTTTTTTTTTATAAATATTGTAATCGTTTTAAGTTAAATTATTACTGCTGTTTTTCCTGCTACAATTTATTTTTTTCATAATGAACAAATCCAACTCATTCACACTGCAACAAAACATATAAATTTGATTTTTAAAGCAATAACATATATAATTCAAGACTCAAAATCAATTAGGGTCTTGAAACATCCAAATCATGCCCATGTGTTAAGTTAAATTATGACACACATTTGATGTATAATTACTTAGCAACTGATTTTCCTGTGGGTACTTTTTTGTTACTAGAACAGACATGCAATGTTGAACATAGAAAGCAGTTAATGTTTATAACCAGTTAAAACCAGTTCCATGCATCCATCACCATCACTGCTATAAAGCTTCACATACTGTTACAAGACACATTCTTAATACTTCAATCTTCAAATTAAGTTACAAATTAATTGATCTTTAATAAGCAAAAAAAAAAAAAAAAAAAGAGTTCTATAAGTACTGGAAATAAAATAATTAAGCTTCCAAAATTTTTAAGAATAGTGTTTTATTGGGTTCATTTCTAATAAAAAGCATTTATAGATTTTAGTAAGACAATTTTACAAACACATGTGTTTTAATAGAGATTTAATATGCATAAAAAAACTGCTACAACATCAATGTTATTGTTAATAACAACACATAAAACAAATACCAATTTTCTCTGCTTATAAACCTACATTAAGGGTGCTCTTGTAATATTTTCATCTTATAAATTTATCTTATATTAAATTGAAGTCTTTAAATTACATACATTTTTTTCCTTTAAACAACAATAAATTTCTATTGCATAAGTCTTTGTCAGAACAATTTCAGCAGCTTAACTTAAAATATAGCTTGGCTTACTCTATCACAATTCAGTTATTTACATCATATTGTTATATGTATTTCAAGCCCATAAAAAAGAACTGTTTATATGACTCAAGATTTTCTTTAAAACTTGAAGCCTTTTTTTCTTCTGATATATATCCCTTGTTTGAACTGTAGATATATTTGTATTTCTTATAGTTACCTGATCTGGCATCTTATCTCCATTCTGTAACTGTTTCTTTAAATCTTGATCTGCTTGTCTGATCGTCATAATCCAGTCTGTATCTACATCTGCTTCGTCTTCTTCATCTCTATTTAGTTGCAATAACAAAAACACATTCATTCAATTTGAAAAACTAATTATATTTACCACTCCACATAATAAACTAATAATCAATAAATAAAAATATGTTTTTCCCCTAATACAAGAATACCAATGAATAATGTCATTTCATCCAAAAAATCTACTTACCACATTTCAGAAATGTCTAGAAGGAGTGATCATTAATGATGATACAAATACAAAACTAGAGGTACTGCAAGCAAAGCCCACAAAATAATACCCCCCAACCCTTGCAAAGTCCATGTTTTGCTCTGGAAAATCCCATAAATAATTTGGACCAAAAAAAACAAAATAGGAGATAGCATTATCTGGTTAAGATTCTGAAAAAGTTTCATTAAATCAAGATTTGGGATTTAAGATGAAAAGCGAATACAATTGTGTACTGCCTTGTTGGGATATGATGAATATATACAAAAACATCTGCCATTGATGCTAAGCAAACTACAATTAACAATTTTAAACTAAATTAATACAATTACTGAGTTAAAAAGAAGATATTAATAATTCTTTATATTAACTATAAATATTACTTCCTTTAAAATGAATCTGTAAAAAGTTCTACATAATGATAAACATACGGTTCACTTTCATCACTGTCAGAGTCACCAGTGTTTCCTTTCTCAGACTTCCATCGTTTGTAACGATCTATTAAATCTTGAAGATATGTTGTCCTTCTTGCTCTTAGTATAAATTTATGTTTTAATAAATCTTTGGCACTTGGTCGCTATTAAATAAAAGCTTATGTTAATGAAACTGGAATTGCGAAATAGCTTTCAGTAACATAAAGTATTTTCAGTTGGTTCCTTGTTTATATAATGTGTCATTTTGTAATTGTTATGATAACACTGTCACAAGTCAGGGGTTATGCCTATCCATTTTAACCATGTGGATGTCTTATAATGGATGCCTATATTTAGGTGTAAAGCCTATCCATTGTTTTTCAACCATGTGGATGTCTTACAATGGATGCCTATATTTAGGTGGTTTGCTATATTTCTTAAATCATTTTCATTTAAATTGTAGTTTCTTTTGAACTGTTGCATATTTTCTTGTTTTAGGTCTTGCTGTGTAGCCTTGTTTACACTTCATTCTGACAAAGACCTGCAAATTTTATCCGACATCTCTCACTTGCTTGTAGACAAGTTCCTTTTCTTATTGTAAGTTGAAAGAACATGTCAAGACATTTATTTAGTTTACTTCAAGATTTGTTGCAAGAGCATATCTGCCATAACTTTTCTGATTCGGTATACATGTATATATGCTTTTTGAAAAAATGTGTATTCTTATAAAAAATAAACATGCAGAATCACTCATATATGTTATTTGATAAATGAAATAATTTTTAGGTACTTACATTTGCAGGCTCTTTATTCAAACAAAGCTCTACAAATTCTCTGAAAAACTTTGAGTAATTCCCCGTGAGTTGAGGAGGAGGATTTTTTGGAATGAGAAATAATACCCGCATTGGATGAAGTTCTGAGTTTGGAGGTTCTCCTTTAGCTAATTCTATAGCAGTTATACCTAAACTCCATATATCAGCCTGAAATTAAAAGCTCTCAATATAATTCTGACAGCATCAAATATGCTTTTAACAAATAAGGTCATGTTAATTTTCAGATATCTGATTGTGTGGGTATTTAATATATGTATATACGGAAAGTATGAATTTTGGTTGTCCAAATAAGTCTCTGCTTTTTTTGGACACAACATAAAATGAAGACATATGGAAAGAACAAAATTACTTGTTTTCATCTTACTAAAGAATTTTTTGAACTGATTTAAAAATAATAATATGGTTTAAATGCCAATGAGAAATTCATCTAATGATGTTGATGTTAGTAACTATAGGTCACTGTACTACCTTCAACAATGAGCAAAACACATACTGTGTATTTAACTATAAATGGGCAAACATGAATAAACGTGAAACATTTCAAACAAGAAGACCAGTCTTATTTATGACAAATAATAAACCAAAAAGACAGACAGTTTCCAATGACAACCACTGAATTATAGGCTCCTGACTTGGGACAGGTACATACAAAATGTTGCAGGTTTAAACATGTTTGTGATAGCCTAACTCTCTCTCTTACCTGGGACATTGGTTTAACACCACACCATAAGGGTAGCACTCCACAGTTAGAAAATAAAATTAAAATTGAACCACAAAATGTTTAATCATCTTCTATTCCTGGCTTTCTAATACATTCTGCCAACTGTTTGTGTCATACATGTGCATATGTATGTAATCAGTATCTTCCATAGATTTAATTTTCAAAAGTTAAAATGGTGGAAAATAATTCCTTTCTTTGTGTATCCATGGCAACATTCTGCATTTATTTATCATAAAATATTGCAAAAAGGGGCATGAAAATGTCACATATTCCCCCAAAATTTGGTTTAAACTAGAATTTCAATGCCTATGAGTGATACCTTTTCTGAAACTGTTGACATTAATCTTCAAAGTGATCAAATGAAAATTGGGTGACTTTCGCCTCATTTTTTTGTAAAATTTAATCACAAAGTTCGTGCGACAAAAAGTTAGAAAAAAACAATGCAATAATTGCCGGACTGATGTATTGTATGGATATGAAAATACGGACTGTCATACAGAAAACAGCCCATAATACATACATTACACAATCTTGATGTTCCTATAAACCCACTATGAAGGCTATGTTAATCTTCAGCTATCCAAAAATGAATTTTATTGCACACTAGCTCTCATATTTGAAAAATCCACAGGGGCCAAAATGCGAAACTACACACCTAACTGTGGAGTGCTACCTTAAGAACAAACTGTAACAAGATCAATACTGGGTCTAGACCTGCGTCACTGCATGAAATTGATTGAGGTAACATGTATACCCAAGCATAACTGATCATTCCCAGACCAAATATTAAAGTCATTCACTTCAATAGGAGCCAAGAAAAGTTTGACAAAAATCTTCCTTGTACAATGAGTGTTGTAAAAATCTATCGATAAACAGGAAGTGGCTACACGGCAGATGTCTAAATTGCTTACTAAATTGCTAAGTCAACATTATTAAGCTGCAGACCAAATATTAAATCATTCCATTTCATAAAAGCCAAGAAAACCTTGACAAAAGTTTTCTTTCGGATGGACAGACAGACAGAAGGAGTAGAGCAATTACTAGACCTTTTTCTGCCTCCCACGATCAGCTGGGAAATGACTTGACCCTTCAGATTGGTACAAAGAACAAAAAACAGTAAACATAAAGACAAAAGATGCAAATTACAGCTCTAAGAGAACTTGCAGTTGCTGAAAGCTAGTTCAAATTATCACTCAATAAATAAATCATATTTTCTCATACTATAGAGTGGAAGAGATATTAAGGGATGTGCCAGCAACTAGCTTGAACCCTGATTAAATTTCAATGACAGGAAAAACATTTATCATATTCTAAATTCATAAAAGTGTTCTTGAATATGCATGTTTGATCTGAATAATTACTCAGGTGTTAAGTATTCATCTGTTTACATTTGTATTGATATCAATTTGGCTATCAGAAATCACTATCAATCAGGCGCGTAGCAACCCGTACGCAAAAACGCAGTTGCGTACACATCGAAAATTTTACAAAAATAAAAATATGGTAAATCTAGTAAGAATAAAACTAAAGTAATAAATCAAATTAAAAACTATCTTACAAACATGTTAATAATCACTTTGTAGCTATATTCCGTTCCTCCTGAAACTACTTTTAATTTTCGGAACCAGCATCATGATTATGTTGCTGATGCAATCAAGTAAAAATTCTATGCCTCCTTACCCAGTCCTGACATCTTTTCTGAAGATTTCAAAATAACTGACGAAATAAAATATGACGTTCTAAAGAGACCATGGACAACGATTCATTCTCATGATTTTTATGTGAGGTATGTATAGTCTTAACTACATACGTCGTCATAACAGATTCTTTTAAAAGTCCAGTCTGACTTAAGTTTAACGGGGTTTGTAAAGGGTAATTTTCGTGCATAGTGCTTGCCGTTTTTTTTTTTTTTTTTTTTTTATTTAAATTGACGATAATCGAGTTTTGACTTTTTTTTTTATTTTTACGTTCGGTTGTGCAAGACGGGTGCCTCGTTCAAAGTGTTTCCCCGACTTAATTATACGTGCTTCGAGATTAAAAGTGCTTATTTTCCATGCTTCGAGATTTAAAGTGCTTGTATTCCATGCTTGGTAAAATTAAAAGACTATCGTTTAGGAAGTGAATAAAAAGAAATCGGAAATAATTTGATGATTTTCCTTACAGATTTGATTCAGATTTTGGGACTTATAACCAGAGACATATATACGCATGTGTATATATGTCTCTGTTATAACGTATATATTATATACTTGCCAGTTAAAGGTTTCCAATCTATGATATGCGTTCGTTATATAGTACTTTTTTTCAACGTTCATGGACGAAATTATTTCACGTTCACCGTTATTCCTTCTTGGTATTTAACGTTTTTTTCGTGCAAGTACCACCCTTTACCACCCCTTTTAACCTAAACTAACTAGCAACGAATATTATTTTTAATTTAATTTAATCAAGCTCAACCCACTACACATTACTGATTAGAAAATCCAAATTCCTAAGCCAACAGTACTTGTTTGTTTTTCTCGATTTTTTTTTTTCAAAAGTTGACTTGTTACTCATGAAAATAAGATTTCGGTGAGGTCATTTTAAGTCCCAGGAAATTGCGAGAATGCAGGATTTTGCAACATTTACCCAGAGCTTCTGGGGGCCTTAAGCGGCCCCCAAACCCCCTGCCGTTTGACTTCCTCCTCCGGCATTGAGTACACATCATATTGGCCTAGCTACGCCCCTGTCAATATTTACCTTTTCTTGCCCCTTATATAATAGAAGATTCAGCAACACCCAATGAAATGAAATTAATTATGTTACACAAAAATATTTACCAGACAGGAAAATGGCTTGTTTTATGTTGTTGTAAATGTTACCTTTGTATCATAAGCTGACTGTTTAATAACTTCTGGTGCCATCCAGAATGGCGTCCCAACAAATGTGTTTCTTTTATTGGTTGTATTGGTAAGTTGGCCAGCAACTCCAAAATCTGCTAATTTAACATCACCATTTTCTGACAGTAATACATTGGCAGCTGTGTGAAATAAGATTACATAAAATGTGGATAGTACAATATGTAGTGGATTGAGGCGGCCATGTATGTTGATTGAGAGGAATAAAAAACACAAACTTATTACTAGATATAATCTATTAGGATCATTCTTTTCAGGTTTGGTTGAAATTAGAACTGTAGTTTCAGAGAATATTTTTTGTTAAAATTTTACATAAATTATATATATTTTCCTTGGATTTCTTGTGTATTAATCTTAAAATTACATGTATGCCTGCAGATATTTTGAAAATAAAAGCCAACGGATAACTTTTGACACCAGTCCTACTCATACTTTTGTGTTCACAAAAAGTAATTTTCAAAATTTGTGACATTTTCAACAACAAAAAATTTATGGTTTCCAATTTGAAAATAAATATAATATGCAAATCTACATATCATGTAAAACTGTACAAAATTTCCTCCCTTTTCAAGTTTTTGCTAACACAAAATTTGTTGAACAGATAGAAAAAGTGAAAACTTAAAGGCACCATTGAAGGGCTTTAACAAGATTAATTCATTCTTGTAATATCTAACTTGGATGGCTAAAAAGTCCCTTCACTTTATAAGACCACTTTTATGGTGCATAGCTTGTTTAAATGGAACCAAACATTCTGTTAAAATTTTGTAAAAAGATTTGTCTGAGCAAACTTATCATAGTGTGAAATTGTTTCGAACATCAATTTAAACAAAATGATTGTTCAAGATATGCTCAGGGACAGGCAGACAGACGGACAACCATATGCTATAACATGTTCCACTTTGACAGTTGTATGACACCCCTCAGGTTATAAGTACAGAAACAACATAATACAAATGTCCATTATTAAACTGAAGCAATACCTTTAAATAGGGCTGACTTAATTATGTCCTTCTGTTTCTAATGTATGTCTGCCTGTGTATTGAATTTGACTAATTTTTTCTAACTTCTAACCATATTCTTGTTTTGGTTGTAACCCAATCTTTTCAATGTATTCTTAAAAAAATATTTACTATTTACCTTTTATGTCTCTATGTAATTTTCTCTCAGAATGTAAATAATCTAATCCTTTAAGAATTTCCCTTATTATAATAGCAATGTCATTTTCTGAAAATGGTCCTGCTTTCATTAAATCTAATGCTGAACCACCACCTAAATACTCCATAATAATCCATAATTTTGAACCCTGCAAAATAAAAACAAAGGTAACATACATTTACAAAATTTGTCTGATCTCAAAATTGCTTTTATCAACCCTAATATAATTACTAAAATGATTGTCTAGTAAAATTCAAATTGAGTATGAAAAAGAATCAAAGTAAAATATTTCCATCTCAGAAATCAACTTAAATGTTAAAAAATTAACATGAATCAACGAAGAGTGAAATATGAGTCTAATTGACTGACTCATTTCAGGAGAGATATTGTTGTACTTAAATGCATCCAGACATTAGCAATATGTCTGTAGGACATTATCTAAAATATGTACTCAAATGTCAATGAAGGGTGAAGAGATTAATGTATGTAAGAAAAGCATACTTTTAATTAAAGAACCTTTGTGAGCACGCTCACATACCCCACGCCCCCACATTGTCAGTGGGCAAACAAAATCTCACTAGATTCCTTAGTTCAAAGACTCATAACTCTGACAAAAGTCAACTGATAATAATTTCTTGTGGATATGCACATCTAAATACTATGTCCTTATTATCTACAAAGTTTTAGGAAATTCAGTTGTGTGGTTTCAGAGGAGTTGCGATGAAAAACTGTTGCAGTAGTATATTCAAGCAGAAATTTTAAGTTCAAAGAGGCATAACTCCTAGAAAAGTCAACTGATAATAATTTCTTGTGGATATGTACATCTACATATTATGTCCTTATTATCTACAAAGTTTCAGGAAATTCTGTTGTGTGGTTTCAGAGGAGTTGCGATGACAAACTGTTACAGTAGTATATTTAGGCAAAAATTCTAAGTTCAAAGGGCATAACTCCTAGAAAAAAAATTGAATCATAATTTCCCTGACGATATGCACATATACATAGTATGTCCTTATTATCTACAAAGTTTCATGAAATTCTGTTGTGTGGTTTCAGAGGATTTGCAATGACAAGAACAGGACTGACGGATGGGTCAAAAACATTATACCCCACAGAACAAAGTTCAGTGGGGTATAATAAGCAACTTTATATCTTTCAACACACATCTATATAGCAAGTAACATGATTGAGTAACTTAATATCTTTGATCTAAATTTGCAACTATAACTTACTCCAAGTAAAAACATAGAATATAGATCATTGACTGACTTTTTTTTTTGGCAGACTGCTCTTCTCTCTCAATTGGTAAGAAATTTGATAACAAAATCTAAAACCAAAGTTAAAATACTGCTTGGAAAAGTCGCAACTGATGTATTTTTTTACAACTTATTAACCAACATTGCCTGGAATTTTATATTAAAGACATTTTAGGAGCATACAAACATTGCTTACCTTCAAATATGAACCATAATATTTAGTGACAAAGGGACTGTCACACTGTGAAAGGACCATAATTTCTTGTTGTATATCTTCAATTTCATCTTCTGCTTCCTCTAGGTCTATTATTTTAATAGCGACTACTTGCTGACTTTCATTGTCTATTCCTTTAAACACTTCACCAAAAGATCCCTTTCCAATCTTCTCCATTTTTGAAAATCGAATTTCAGGATCAACATACATCTTTGATGTTCTTTCTACTGGAGGCTCTTCTCTAGAGCGTGTTCTCTGCTGTAAAAGATCATTTATATACTTAGGATTGATTGTTGATTGCTTAACATCCAGTGTATATATACTTAGGACAAAAATAACTAAATGTATACATATACAATGAACAAAGACCTACATTTAGTCTGTAACTACTTATTTATATTGCATGTATTGTGTATCAATAAAAAATGATAACTGATCATTTGTTCGTGACATGGCAAAAGTGAAAATCATCAATATCGAACTTGACCTCCATTTTTCATCAGTAACAACATATTAAAATTTAAAGAGCATTGGTCAAGTGGTTCATTACAATTGCACAGAAACAACTTAAAGTGCCATTTCTCAATAGATCAAGGAACATAAACTCCTGAACACTAATAAAAGTAAATAAAATGCTTCGCTGGGGCGCAGCTTGATACGACCGCAGAGGTCGAACCCTGAACAGTTGGGGCAAGTATGGACACAACATTCAAGCTTGATACAGCTCTGAATTTGGATTGTTATTAAATATTTGACACAGCATAGGTTTCTGACACAGAAAGAATGTGGTCTAAGAACTTGAATTTTTTTAATTTACCTATTATGGTCCAATGTCCAAAATCAAAATACATGGTTAGATTCAGCATATCAAAGAACCCCATATATTCAATTTTTGTTAAAATCAAACAAAGTTTAATTTTGGACCCCAACTTGGACAAACTTGAAAACTGGGCCCATAATCAAAAATCTAAACACATGTTTAGATTCAGCATATCAAAGAACCCCAAGAATTCAATTTTTGCTCAAATCAAACTAAGTTTAATTTTGGACCCTTTGGACCTTAATGTAGACCAATTTAAAAAACGGGACTTAAAATTAAAAATCTAAATACACGGTTAGATTTGGAATATCAAAGAACCCCAATAATTCAATTTTTGATGAAATCAAACAAAGTTTAATTTTGGACCCTTTTGACCTCAATATGAACCAATTTGATAGCGGGGCCCACAAATAAAAAATCTAAATTCATGGTTAGATTCAGCATATCAAAGAACCCCATATATTCAATTTTTGTTGAAATCAAAAAAAGTTTAATTTTGGACCCCAACTTGGACCAACTTGAAAACTGGGCCCATAATCAAAAATCTAAACACATGTTTAGATTCAGCATATCAAAGAACCCCAAGAATTCAATTTTTGTTAAAATCAAACTAAGTTTAATTTTGGACCCTTTGGACCTCAATGAAGACCAATTTAAAAAACGGGACCCAAATTAAAAATCTAAAAACACGGTTAGATTTGGCATATCAAAGAACCCCAATAATTCAATTTTCGATGAAATCAAACAAAGTTTAATTTTGGACCCTTTTGACCTCAATATGAACCAATTTGATAGCGGGGCCTACAAATAAAAAATCTAAATACATGGTTAGATTCAGCATATAAAAGAACCTCATATATTCAATTTTTGTTGAAATCAAACAAAGTTTAATTTTGGACCCCAATTTGGACCAACTTGAAAACTGGGCCCATAATCAAAAATCTAAATACATGTTTAGATTCAGCATATCAAAGAACCCCATATATTCAATTTTTGTTGAAATCAAACAAAGTTTAAATACTGGACCCTATCTTGGACCAACTTGAAAACTGGGCCCATAATCAAAAATCTAAACACATGTTTAGATTCAGCAAATCAAAGAACCCCAAGAATTCAATTTTTGTTAAAATCAAACTAAGTTTAATTTTGGACCCTTTGGACCTCAATGTAGACCAATTTAAAAAACAGGACCCAAAATTAAAAACCTAAATACACGGTTAGATTTGGAATATCAAAGAACCCCAATAATTCAATTTTAGATGGAATCAAACAAAGTTTAATTTTGGACCCTTTTGACCTCAATATGAACCAATTAGATAACGGGGTCCACAAATAAAAAATCTAAATACATGGTTAGATTCAGCATATCAAAGAACCCCATATATTCAATTTTTGTTGAAATCAAACAAAGTTTAATTTTGGACCCCAATTTGGACCAACTTGAAAACTGGGCCAAAAATCAAAAATCTAAAAACATGTTTAGATTCAGCATATCAAAGAACCTCATATATTCAATTTTACCTAATCAAACAAAGTTTAATTTTGGACCCTTTGGACATTAATGTAGACCAATTTGAAAACTGGACCCAAAATTAAAAATCTAAATACACTGTTAGATTCGGCATAACAAATAAATAAATGTGATCAAAGATTTTACAAATCTAATGCGCCATACTGTGCAATTAAAGATTACTACTTGAAATTTTTCAATATTTGAAATTTGAAAAAAAAAAAATATTTGAAGAATAATTCTTTTTAATTTCTGAAATCTGAAATGAGAAAAAATTGGCCCCCCACAATTTCTTTTTATCCCCCCCCCCTTTTTCCCCCCCAAAAATTCTTTCCCTCAAGATATGGTCATAATCTCAATTCAAATTTCCAATGGAGTTGGCAACCATAATTACCCATTTAAATTTACCATAGTGCTAACTTAATCTATTTTATAATAGAATTAATAAAAATATAGTGTCAAATCTTTCATATGGATTTTTTTGTAAAAAAAAAAGATGAAAACATTTGCAGATATTTTTACTGGTCTTCCTTTATAAATATGCATTTCTTTAAACATAATTTAAAAGCAGTGTAAGGGAAGTAACCAAAACGTTGTATTTGGATTACCTCCCTTACACTGTTTTAGATTATCTTTATTGTTCATTAACCATTACTTTATACATAATTTAAAAGCAGTGTAAGGGAGATAATTTCAATGATGTATTTGATTTATCTCCCTTACACTGCTTTAAATTATGTTTTGTACTAAAGTATTTGTCCATTAACCAGGACAACCTTGTTTTTCCCCCTTTTTTGCCCCTAATTCCTAAACGGTTTGAGCCATAACCCCCCAAAGCAAATCCTAACCATCCCTTTGTGGTATGGAAACTTGTAGTATAATTTCAGAGAGATCCATACACCGTTCCACAGTTATTGTCTGGAAACTAGAAAATGCTCATTTTTGGCCCCTTTTTGGCCCCTAATTCCTTAACTGTTGGTACCATAACCCCCAAAATCAATCCCAACCTTCCTTTTGTGGTATTTAACCTTATGGTCAAATTTCAAAAAGATCCATTCACTTAAACTAAAGTTAGAGTGCGAAAACCAATATGTATTCGGACGACGACTACGCCGGACGACGACGACGCCAACGTCATACCAAAAAACGACCACAAAATTTTTTTGCGGTCGTATAAAAATCGTTAATATCTAACTTGACCTCCATTTTGTCATTAGTGTCAGATTGAACGGTTCACAAGTTATTGCATGGAAACTGTTGGCAGCTGCCTGTCCACCCACCCATCGTACTTCATCAATTTAATAACTGAATTGTTCAGATCCTTCCGAAAACCCAGTCAAAAATTGTGCAGCAAAATTAAGTATATTTAAGTAAGATAATTATAGGTTTCATAACGAGTGAGAATTGGATATCATTTGATATCAACTAGTTATTTAATTTTAATATAAAAGGCTCGTTTATTATTACTTTTTAAATTAAATAACGAGAGTTGATATCAAGGGATATCCAATTCTCATGAGTTCTTAAAACTATTTCTCTTAGTCTTATGGTCAAAACTCTTTTTGTGTTTCTATGTTATATTAAAAATTCCACGAATCCTTTATCAAGTCTTTTGCACATACCATGAGTGACGTCATATGTCCTTTTCTGGCGTCAAACTTTAACATCAGACATTTTAAAACTTTTTGTATGCATCACAATGTAATAAAATTTGACAAAAAGAAGATTTCCAGGCGAAAAGTGTGAGTGTTTTCTATATTATTGATGAAATCAAATATGTCGGTTGCCATGATGAAATGTTCATCGTCTTAACCTTTGAAAGTTATCAATGCCCTAACGAATAGCCAATGGAAATGTCACAATATCGTCTCATGATGCTGGATAAGCCAAACAAATAAACGCAGTTTTTGTATCACTTTTTCATATCACACTCCGTGCAGTGTGATACGAGATATCTCTCTTCAAGCAAGAAATAGATAACAGGCCACAACCATAAGAGAATGTATGCATCCATAACAAGTACAATTCAACAATCAACACTTATAAAGTTTCAAAACAAAAGGTGCTTTCTGCCACGCTCGTGTTGTAGTTGTACTAAATATTGAACATAGATACATTTTGTTTTTAATAAGTAATCATATTTCTCGATCAAAACAGTTTCTAGGACTAAGGAAAGGGATGATAATTTTCTATTGTGAAAAAAATCGAAAGTTAAAAAAAACATAACCATGGGTTACATAACCAAGGGTTAAAAGAAGTTAAGCAACAGAATTTTTTAACCCTTGGTTACGTAACCCTCTGTTGAATAATTTAACCAAAGGATGAATAACCAGGTCCATAATGATAAAATGAACAAGCCTACATATATATCAATCAAACTTTCACTTTATAGGACAAGAAATTCAAATGACAAGAGAATTTGAAGATGAAAGGGGAGGCGAATTAATATTAACTCTGCAATATCAAATAAATTATGTATTTATAAATACATAATTAGATAAAAGATTAAACAGACTATTGATGATATATTGATTTTTTTCATCTCATGCAATTAAACAAATTTGAGGATGCCTTACAGAATTTACTTGCTCTATACAGCAAATAAGTCAATATTATAAAAAGTGTAATCAAATCTAAAATATGATACCATCTTCACTGATACCTTATCTGCATAAATGCTTAACATTTAACATAACAATCTAATTCAAATGCACTTAAACAATAAAACTATCCGCCAATTTTACTTCCTTCTTTCTAAATTTGCTATATTTTGTCACATAACCCTTACAGATTACATTTAATTTTATTTGAGAAATGTATACATTCACATGTTCATGTTTCAACCTTAAAAAATGAATAAAATTTAATTTACCTATCAAATAAACAAATTGCTGTGAGGCGATGGATTCTTTAAATAGTGATAACAAG